TTACCACAATGCAACAGCTCCCCTTCCACTTCCTTCCCCTAGTTACCTCTTCCCCGTGTCCATCCCTCCATGGACCCCTGAGATGTCTCCCTGTGCATAAGCAGCCCTTCTTTCTCCCATGATTGTTCTCTCCAAGGATAGTATCTACCTAAGGTAAATGTTCAACTCATATGCCTGTCTTTTGCTTGGCTGGAAGCCACAGGTGTGGGTTCAATTTCAGACCTAAAGGGCAGCTAGGGACCATAGTCTCAGTGGTTCCACCAGGCTCTATCAGACCAGCAAACCTGGTCCCCCCCTCCCTTTGATTCCCATTTTTTTAGATGCTGTTCTAAGCATAGAGAAGGTAAGTGACAAAGCCAGTAAAGCAAGAAGCTGGGATTCAAATTTCTGTCAGTCTAGCTACAAAATCTTGTGGTCTTTCCTCTACACAGCAATATCATTCTTCAAGTAAAATTAGAGACTTAATGATTATCTAGTTCAAAACACTCTATTCTCTGATTAAGAAATGAGCCTGAGGGTAGTAGTAGTAGTAACATGCTCAGTAACACAGCCATTTAAGGATGGTGTAGCACCTAAGGCATTTGACTGCTAACGAGAAGACTAGCGGTTCAAACCCACCAGCCACTCCTTGGAAGGAATGTTGGGCAATATACTTCCGTAGTAATACCACCTTGGAAACCCAATGAGGGGTAGCTATGAGTCAGATTTGACTCAACGGCAGTGAGTTTGGTTTGTTTGGTTTATTGAGCTAGAGGTGGCTCCCGACACACACAGTTCAGCTTTCTTTTTCTTACATATTTTCTCTCAAAAGCCAAAACATATTTTCTTCATTTTCACAATAGATTACCAAATCTTTTCTGAAAACAGAGTACTCTGACTCAACACAAAATTATCTCTTAGAGTGTCATCCTTTCTAATAAGTATGAATGAGCCAAATATATAAAATATTTTACACAGAGGGGCAGAGGTGATGATGTTACTAAAACATAATCCCTTTTTTATAGAGAAAACCTTTATGTGACAAATTATATATCTTTTGAAATTCAAAAACAAAAACAATGTCTATTTAGTAATCACTTTCCAGCTTGATTTTTCAAATATCTCAAAGAAGTCTCTAGACTCACATTACTGTCAAGCAAAACACTTTCCAAAAGCAAATGTTCTGTTACAAAATTAAAAAATGAAAAGCACTCTCCTGACTGGACAGCAGAGGGAGAAGGAGGAAAGGATGAACGATGGAAAGATCAGGAGCCAGGCATGGAAGGAAGGTGCTACCTTTCAAAGATCTGTGACTGATAGTCCTGGTACAGGCAGGAAGATGTTCAGGGAGAGGAAGGTTTATAAACAAATCAGTAATGGGCCCAGCTGCCTGGGCATGTGGACAGGCATTCTCAGCAACTCCAACCCTGACCCTGGATGCTGTTCTGGTTCCTGAAATTTACAAATGATATTTCAACCTCAGGAGCTCTGGTAGCATAGTGCCTAAGGCACTTGACTGATAACCAGAAGGCTGGCAGTTCAAACCCACTAGCCACTCCTCGGAGGGAAGATGGGCAATCTACTTCCGTAGTGATACTGCCTCAAAAATCCAAGGAGGGGTCGCTATGAGTTGGGTCTGACTCGATGGTACATAACAACCACAACAACAACACTTCAACCTCTGCTTGATTTCCAGATAAGAAAAAGAGAGAGACAGAAATTGAAACTACTAATGATGAAATATACTGCATCTTGAAAATACATATAAAAAATGAACTTAGGATATTAAGAGTCAAAATGGATGCTACAAATGTACCAGTTTTGCTCAAAAGTAGAAAAGACTTTTCTTTAAAGCACAGAAAGCCTCATCCTTGAGATCTGAATTCCTGAGAATCACCGCAGATTTAATGAGTTTATCAATCTGTTTACTAGAAGCTATGACAGAAATGAGATTCATTAAACAGAATCAGTGAAATGGCCATTTACTTTCTCATTTCAGGTGCTGCTGTCTTTGTTCTTTCATCAAACCTTCTCATTATACCCCCACCACATAAGAGGGATGATTAAATGTCAGCCTCAATTCAAATACCTAATGTATGGCAGAAACAAATATATTTACATGCTTTCAAGAAAGATAAATAATAGCTGGTACTAGTCTACCAACTGCAGATGTACAAACTTTCTATCCTATACATAAATCAAACACAACACATAATGTGTATTTTAAAGACTGCTGGTGTTATAGTGATTTTAAATTACTCAGGTTCTGGAATAAACTATGCAGATGATGAATAATGTGAAAATATATTCTGGATCTTTTCATGCTAATTTAGTGTTATAAACTGTAATGGCATTAACAAAAAGGAGGTCTTAGGGGAGAAGGCAAACATGCTTAAAATCAAGGGATGGTGTTAGCTACTGTTGAGTCAGCCCCCAATTTATGGTGGCCCCATGCACAACAGAACAAAACACTACCAGGTCATACACCATCCCCATGATCTGTTGCTGACCTGACTATATGAAACCCAGGGTTTTCACTGGCTGATTTTCAGAAGTAGATTGCCAGGTCTTTCTTCCTAGCCCACCTCAGTCTGGAAGCTCTACTGAAACCTGTTCAGCATCATAGAAACATGCAAGCCTCCAATGACAAATAGGAGGTGGCTGCGTGCCTGGGATGCACTGGCCGGTCGCTAGCATGAAAGTGAGACTTCTACCACTGAATCACCACTGCCCCCTAAAATCAAGGAGTATGTTTCTATAATGAATTATTTGCTAGTTTGGGTAAATCCATTGTAATATGGCTTTAGTAAGTATTTTAAGTTAGATTACAATGGGGTTTATCTTGTGGTCCCCTTAGAAGTGCATTAATGAAACAGAGAAACTCAACATACAGATAAAAGAAATGAAAGAGCAAATAAATGGAGAAGAGCAAAGCAACTGTCAAATGAGCAGTGATGGGATCAAAGGGGCCCCTGTGGTACCAAGCACACCAAAAAGTTTTCAAGCTGTTGGCCACAGAAATCAGCAATTATGCAAAACAACAGATCTATTCCAACTTAGGTATGTGAAGCAAGTCATCAGAGTGGAAATCCCAGAAATCCCCGAGCCATGGTAAAGTTCTCAGGCTGGGATCTTCCAACTTCACACAAAGTAGTAGTAAAGATCAGATGAGAGTAGTGTGCAGGTGTGAAAGTGCTTTCTAAAATGGTGACCTGTCTATAAGTACAGACATCATCATCACCATATTTATGTTTAGCTCACTTTCTACTACATCTTAGTCACTGTTTACAGGTATTGTACCCAGATCTCTGTGCAGTGAAGGGATTTAGATATAAGAACAGCCTTCAAAATCTCATTGGTGGGAATAACATTTTTAAGATTAAATCTGCACAGTGGCTTTTATAACTGTTCAAGAAGTGCTCAATGAGAATTTCTATTCACACTGATAGTAGTTCTATATTTGGGATTTCCTTCCAGCAACCCTAAGCGTTTTGATATCAGAAGATATAACTTCATGAGATCATGAGAAGATGGCTGCCATAAGACAAATTAGTTTCCTCTATTGCAACAGAACCAAGAAGAAATAAATGTCTGGATCCTTATCTCTTTACTTTGGTCATGTAATCAGTGGGGGCCAGTCCCTGGAGAAGAATATCATGCTTGGTAAAGTAGAGGGCCAGTGAGAAAGGGGAGGACCCTCAATGAGATGGACTGATACACTGGCTGCAACAATGGGCTCAAACATAGCAATAATTTTGAGGATGGCCCAGGACCGGGCAGTGTTTTGTTCTCTTGTACATGGGGTCACTACGAGGTGGAACCTACTCAACAGCAACTAACAACAACAATGGCAAAGGATATGAAGAAATGGAGTGACATGATGGAGGCCAAATGGAGGTACCAGGGGCTACTTTAACTGAAGTGATCAGAGAAACCCTGTCTCGGGAGGAGACCTGGATAACACTGAGCCAGCAAAGGAAAGAGTTCGGGAAGAACATTCCAGGCAGAGGGAACAAGAAGTACAAAGGCCTTAGTCAAGAAAGGACTTGGAGCCCTCAACTAACAGAAAAGAGGCCAGTGTGAAAGAAGAGGGAAGAAAATCAAATACTCAAGGAAATAATTAGTCCAAAGGACTAATGGACCACACAAGCTCCAGCCTCCACTAGCCTGAAACCAGAAGAACTAGATGGTGCCTGGCTACTACTACTAACTGCTCTGACTGGGAACACAGTAGAAGGTCCTGGATAGAGTGGGAGAAAAATGCACAACAAAATTCAAAATCAAGAAATAGACCAGAATTACCAGTCTGACGGAGACTGGTGGAACCCCGGAGACTATGGTCCTTAGACACCCTTCAAACATGGAACTGAACCCACTCCTGGAGGCCACCTATTAGCCAAACAACAGATAGTCCTGAAAAATGAACAATAACACCTGTGAGGAACATGGTTCTCATAAACAACCAACCATACAAGCCCAAAAGGGTAGCAACTTCTAAAAACAAAGTTCAGAAGGCAGGTAGGGACAGAAAATATGGGTGAATTAGAACAGGGAAGCCAGGGAGAAGGTGGGAGGAGCACTGTTACACTGACAGGACTGCAACAAATATCATGAAACAAAATGTGTATAACTTGTTAATGGGAAACTAATCTGCTCTGTAAATACATAAACTTTCACTCAAACCACAATAAAATATTTAAGAAAAAGAGGCCAGTGTGGCTAAAGCACAGTGAGGAGGGGAAGAGGATTGTGACATGAGTTTGCAGAAGTGGGTGGGAGTCATATTTTACAAGCCATACAAGCCTAGCTCAGGAGACTTAACATAGAAACCAATGCTTTTAATGTAAATGGAAAAAAACAGAATCAGGAGAAGCCAGAAGGTCTTTCAAACACATTTCTAAGCATTTATATAAAAAATAATCTGAAAGGAACAGACATAAGAAAAGCCCTAAGTAGTCATCTGAAGATCAGTAAGATAAACAAATGATTTTGGATTACAAAACAGAACAAAACCTACGTACCTCCTCTTTGCACCAGCAACGTGACCTCACTTCCCTTTGGACATTCGATCAGCATATCCACTACTTGGTTGTGAGTTAATGCTTGCACATTCTTCTTATTAACTTCCACTATAAGATCCCCTTCTTTCAAGCCTCGGCACCTTGGACTGTCAACAATCTGTTTCACTCTTTGGCCACCACCACCAGGACTGTCTGCGATGGTAAAACCAAAGCCCATCGGCCCTTTGACTATATGAACCGTTATGAGTTCTGGCTGAGTGGCTATGGAGGAAGCCAAAGAGACAGTATCATTGGGGTAACCATGGGAACCATTTGAAGCCACATCAGCCGGGCTGCTGGGCCTAGCATCCTTCGTGCTATTGACTTTGCCTGTTTTACTACTGTGGCTGGCTGGTGAATCATATGTTTCTTGCCCATTCACAATAATTGGTTCTTTATCCAAAATGGCCACTGAAGTCACCAAACTTGTATTGGGGTCATCTGGGTCAAAAGGCAATGGATAACCTCGGCAGAGTTCAAGGTCCACACTGGCACCAATGGGAATGGACTGGAAGATTTTCACAACTTGAGCATGTGTATGTCCTAAAACACAGGTGTCGTTCACACTGACAATTACATCCCCTGCAAAAGGTAAGAGTTTGGGGTTAAAAACAAACAGCATCCAGACAGGCTAAGTCAGTCATGTAATGTTTTGTCCTAGCCATGCGGAACTGAACTGAAAATGGATTTGGAGGTGGTACCATAGGGCACAGAGACTGCTTCTTATACTTATTTTAACTGCTAATGAGGCATCCTTTTAGCATCTGATGCCTTCCCTGCTAGCAAGAATATAAAAACCATTGACAGAACACTGGGGCTTTCTTAAAAAAATAATTAATTAATTAAACTGCAGAAATTGACATTTAGAATTCATTTCTTCAAACGAATTCTCATTTGTAGTAAATTATGGCTTTACTGAACTCAGAAACATCCTCAAAGCCCCCCAGAGTTCAGACACTTTCAAAGGTTTTATTCTTTACAAGGGGAAGAATGTAGTAGTGGAGGAATTGGGTTCATTCTCAAGGTTTTTAAAAGACATTTATAACCCTGTGAAATCATGATGCTGTTTGGTCCTATTTTGGGCCCTGGGTATAAATCACACCACTCACAACATGCGAGGGCCCATGTGGTCTCTGTACCTGTTTCCATTTTGCCATCCAATGCAGCGGGCCCATCTAGGACCAAGCTTTTGATCTGAAGAAACTCATCAGGTTCATCGCCTCCAACGACTGTGAAGCCAAAGCCACGACTGCTTTTTCGCAGTTTTGTGTGAATGAACTTGCCTTTCAACTCAGAAGGGTTTCGTGTAAAAAAGGGTTTGCCTAGAGTAAAGCAAAAAAGCACAAGGATGTCACTGTAAGTAAAAAGATGAATTAAATGAGAAAAGATGCAAAATGTAGGTAATTCTTCAAGCTTACACGCTAGGGCATTTGGGCACATGGGTGTCTTAAGGAAGTCCTCCTTTGATTTCAGAATAAGAATGCTCCTAGGCTCTGGTGGTGTAGTGTCTAAGGCATTTGACTGCTAACCAGAAGGTTGGCAATTCAAACACACCAGGTGGTCTGAGGCTGGAAAATGAGGCAGTCTACTTCCACAAAAATTTACCACCTTGGAGCCTCAATGGCGGTCACTGTGAGTCAGAATTGACTCAATGGCAGTGAGTTTGCTGTGTTTTTTTTTGAGGCCATATTTTGGAGTCCCTGGATATCGTGAACAGTTATGTGTTCAGCTGCTAATTAAAAGGTCAGAGGTTTGCGTTCACCCAGAGGTGCCTCAGAAGAAAGGCCTGATGACCTTCTTTTCAAAAATCAGCATTGAAAATATTATGGGTCACAGTTCTGCTATGACATAACTGGGGCCACCATGAGACAGAATCAACTTGAAGGCAACTGCTAATTGATAGGACATTTTGTTAGAGGAGAAGGATACTATATATTTGGTGCATCAGATTAAGGTCCAATAGAAGATACAAGAGAAGGATGAAACTGGACTCAACTGCAAGGCATACTTTCTTGGCTTCCGTTCATGTAGTTTAATGGCAACTGAGCTGTCCTGGGGATCTTAAAAGAAAATGGACTGGGTCTTTATTTTCTTTTATTGTGTATTTTACAATATGGCTTCCAATGTGCTGCCTTAGACTTGACTTCCACTTGAAAAGCAAACTGTAACACTTTAGTTTCAAATCAAATAGAAACTCATTTTAAAAATGCACAGATAATACCAAGTATCATATAATGGTTGCAAAGAAAAATTTCATAGATATGTAGAATTGCTACTTTAAAATTAAAATAATCACAACTGTACTTTTGGTTTTCACTAAATTCTGAATTCAAATGATTTTTACTATTAATTTGTGAAAGAGCCCAGGCATGTCCACTGCTAAAATTTATTGCTTAAGAAAAGCTAAAGACATATGGCTCATGATATTAAGAAACAACAAACTAAACTAAATGATTACTAACAAGAGTCCTGCAGCTCCAAATTTAGCTGTATTATTTAAAGTAAATTAATAGACAGACACATAACTAAGTAATTTCCTGACCATGCTACTTAAGATTTACATAGGTTTTATTTATTTATTTATTTTTTAATACTTTCTCAAATTACTATTTGGACACAGAGCAAAAAGTTTTATTTTGGGCTTTATTAGTTGGGCATCTCTCTGTAACTGAGAAACTTGCTGGAATTCCTCTGGTTATCCCAAATAGTGGAAACAATTCCATCTCAGTCAGACTCTTTCATCTTTCGTAATTTCACTTCCTATTGCCTGCCCTTGTCACAGTTTTACCCATTTGCCACTTTTCTTTTTTATCAAAACGAAAAGAAAGGGGTAGGGGGGAGTAACAATTCCCACAATCCACAGTACCAGGAGCCTGGCACCCAGGAAGGAGAGTTATTTTGGGTTACTTATATCTGAAAGCCTTAAAAGGTCTCTGGGCACACATACAATTTTTAATTGCATATTTTAAAAGTTCCTGCCTTTAAAAAGGCTCTTAAATTGCCTACACTCATAGGTCTTTCTCACTAAACTCTCTAATGCAGTCTCAAGGCTTGCTAGAAGCTTGACAAACTACAGTCCTGTCACTGAGGTTGTAGAAAGGCAAAATCTAGTAGAGATGCATCATGGAACTTCATCTGCTGAGGCACCAGGAGGGTGATCTCAACTACAGCAAGCATTTGTGAGGATACAGCTGCCCAGGCAATTCTGTTGGAAAATGGAGGACAGGTGAGATAACCTCCAAATTTTATGTTCAGGGTATGAATGGTCTATATTCTTGAGGCAGAGACTACTAAGTAGTTCAGGGAGCTTAAACAGTTGACATCTTTCCAATGAGACCTTCCCTGATCACCTTTTTTTAGTGAGTCCTTCTCTGACAATCTTAATTTAAAAAAAAAAAAAAAAAATTACAAAACCTCCTCCAACATTCCCAAACCCTATTTCCTGCTACACTCTTCTCATCACCTATTGCTACCCAACATAGTATAAACCTTATTTATTGGTTTAGATTTTGACTTACCACCCTCACCCCATGCATGCAAGGCATGCTTAGGCATGTATACACATGCTACTAGAATGTAAGCTTCATGATGTCAGGGATTTTTGCTTGCATATCCAGTGCCTAAAATACCATATTTTTTAAATATATTTTTCGCACTCATGTCGTTAACACATACATTCTTATAAAGTGCATAGTGTGCATAGGAAACTAATGCATGGGGGATTGCAGGGTTTAAAAAAAAAAAAAACCTGAAAAACAAAACAACTATATAACATACATGTTACTTCTGTGAAAATGTCCCTGGTGGTGCAACCGGTTAACATGCTTGGTTGTTAATAAAAAGGCGAGGAGCAGTTTGAGTCCACCCAGAGGAAGACAGAGCTAGGGATCTATTTCTGAAAAATCAGCCATTGGAGACCTATGGAGCACAGTTCTTCTCTCACACAAATGAGGTTATCATGCATTGGAAATGACTAGACAGAAACTGGGATAGTATGGTATGGTATAATACTACCAGGTACATGTTAATGCAATTTAACGCAACGTACTGCTGTGGAATTGGACACAACTCATAGAGACCCACCTTGGGTTTCTGAGGTGGTATCAACACGGAAGTAGATTGCCCAACCTTCCTTCTGAGGACTAGCTGTTATGAGCTCCAAAATTCTTTGTTGAATGAATGAATGAGTCAGTGAACAAGCGTACAAAAATAAAATTTAACATGTTTCCAGGAAGGCTGAAAAGACGTGTTTGGGTGTTTGAACTTTTCACCCTTATTATAGGCAAAGTTACAGAATGTGAAAATGTGCCTGGCAGTTTATCTGAATGAGGTGGTTTTTTAAAAAGCCTATTAGCATATTTTGTACTTAGAATATTTTCAACTTAATGGAGACATGAGCAGAGCTTTGAAATTACGCCACTGATTTCCTTTTCTAACACTTAACCAGAGAAGGAAGATCACAAGGTTTCACATTTATGCACATTTTAGTACTTTTATATATGGGTGGGTCATTAGTTAATGTAGTTTTTGGAAATGTTTTTCTCCCCCTAAGCAGTAGAATTTGAAGCTCTCTGCTGCAGCCTTGTGGTACATGTAATGTTTTTAAAAAAAGAGATCCTAAACTTCTCTGTAGACTAGTCATCAACTTTAAGACCTGGTAGTATATGAGAATGATGTGGGTAGCTTATTAAAAGGTACTCATCTCTTGGGTCTACTCTAGATTTACTGAATGAGTGTCTTCTGGGTTTTGGCTCAAAACCCTGCATTTGAACAAGCCCTCAGGTTTTTGTTTCCCTGCAAGGCCAGGACCATTCTTGGCCCTAGGGTTTGAATGGCACAGACTGCCATGTGGTATCTCAAAAAAAAAAAGGGGGGGGGGGTACATAAAAAGGTTTAGCCAGAAATTTAACTATTTTTAATGACAACCGTCCTCAGAAGGAAGATAGGGCACTCTACTTCCATAGTGATACTGCCTCAGAAACCCAAGGAGGGGTGGCTATGAATCGGGTCCGACTCCATGGCACATAACAACAACAACAGCAATGATGACAACTGATTGGAATTTGAATCTGTTCTCTACTACTAACTTTCTGTGTGGCCTTTGTCAAGTCACTAAACGTTTCTCTGCCTGAGAGTCCATGTATAAAATGGATGTAATGATGACACCTACTTCATGTGACAGCTATAAGGAATAATCGTGGCAAATAATATAAGCAAAATCCTTAGGGAAGTATCTGGCACATAACTCAAAAACTGAATTATTATTATATTTTTGATGATGGTGGAGTTGTGGGGAAGAAGAGGCTGTGAAAAACTCTGTAAGTATAAGCTTGAGGCTAGAATAAGCTTGAAGCTAGAACGTTTGTGATTATACTCAAACAAGCACATCTCTTTAAACCATCACTTGCTGAGAGTGTACTCCTGATCAGGGGAGAGTGTGTTAAGCTGTGAATTTAGTAAAATTCATATGAGATCATGTAATCAAGTTATCTATATAGCTTCATCCTCATCAGGAAGCTAACTTATGACCCTTAATTACTCTTGGTTACCAGCAGGCAGGTAACCAGGAGTTGTAACCACAGCAAGGCAGCAGACAAGCTGATGTTTTCACAATGGCAGCTGAGAGTCAAAGGAACTTTAACTAGCTGCTTTGGTATAGACTATATCCAAAGACCATAACTATATTTGAAAAATGAGCCTCAAGATGGACATAACACACTAGAAGGGTTGTAAGTGAGTAGATCCAAGGAAAGTTCAGTGAGTCTGAACTAAAGAAAAACAAACAGACCGATAAAAGAAAAATAAATCTCTTAGATGAAGTTCCTCATACAGATAAATACCCTCTAAACCCTTTACTCCCTTGCTGCACTAAGCTTAGGGCACCTAGAACCTAAACTTTTAAAGCTTTAATTTATTTATTATCTAAGACAATTCTTTAAGGAAGCTTAGGGCTGGCTATCATGCATGCATGCATGCATGTATGTACGTATGTATGCGTGTATATATGTTGTTGTTGTTGTTATGTGCCGTTGAGTTAGACCCAACTCATAGTGACCCCGCCTTGGGTGTCCAAGGCAGTATCACTATAGAAGTAGATTGCCCCATCTTCATTCCGAGGAGTGGCTGGTGGGTTTGAACCGCCAGCCTTCTGGTTAGCAGTCAAGTGCTTTATGGACTATGCTACCAGAGCTCGTATACTGTTTCAATGAACAAGAATTTTAGCCCAAATCAAGGGATGATGTCTGGTTTGAGTTATCCCACAATTCGAAAACAAACAAACAAACAATCTCCTGACTCCATGGGATTTAAAGTCTAATGAGGGAACTATCATTATATAACTGAACACATAAATGAACAGTAATTCTAAAGTGTGTTAAAGTCTATAAGTGAAAAGCAAAGGAGTGAATATAATAGGAGAAATCTAGCAAAAATGAAGTGGGACAAGGAAAATCCACTCTGATCTTTAAGCTGTATTGTTAGGGGCTGTTGAGTCAATTTCGATTCATAGCTACCCCATGTGACAGAGTAGAACTGCCCCATAACATTTTCTAGGCTATAATCTTTATGGGAGCAGACCATAAGGTCTTTCTCCCTTGGAGCCACTGGGTGGGTTCAAATTGGCAACCTTTTGGTTAGCAGCCCAGTACTTAAGTGTTGCATCATTACTGGACCACCAGGTCTCCTCTGAGACAAGTAGAAGTTAGCAAAGTATAGAGTGAGGGGAAAAGACACAGCCAGATACATATGCAAAGGCTCTGAAGTGGTCCACAGTGTTGCTGGCTCAAGGAACTAGAAAAAAAAGGCTTGTATGGCTAGCTAGGAGCTCTGGTAGCATAGTGCCTAAGGCACTTAACTGTTAACCAGAAGGCTGGCAGTTCAAACTCACCAGTCACTCCTCAGAAGGAAGGTTGGGTGATCTACTTCTGTAGTGATACTGCCTCGGAAACCCAAGGAGGGGTCACTATGAGTCCAGTCCGACTCGACGGCACATAACAACAACAATAGCTAGCTAACCACAACTGAGGGGGAAGTAAGATGAGAAGAAGCTGCAGAGGGAATTTCATATTTTAAAAAATCTGCAGGTGGCCACATCACGTTGACAGTAACTAATACGTAAGTATCTACTACATTCCATCTTTATTTAAGCCATTTAGCATCCTAAAAAAGTACACCCAAACCAGAAGAAATTTTTTTTACATAAATTGGTACTCAAACTAATCTCATGACAATATCAGCTACCAGGGATAACTTTTTTTTCTTTAGAAAATTATAATAAAGGAATAAAAAATAGACAACACAGTTATTTTACTTGTCTTTTTTATATCTAACACAATTTTGTCTCTTCAACAGTATAGTGAGGAAGTTCAATTTCATAGACTTTTCAATAATTCTCTATCACAAAGATCCCCCAAATCTATCAAACAGGATGCTCTTGTACTTTTCTTACTGAAAAGAAAAAACATCAAGATGAAAATAAAATAAAACAAAAACCTTTCTTATCACTTAAGAGTAATGAGGCCTGAAAGTAGCAAGATTCTGGAGCTTCTAATTTTCAGAAACCAGTCTCTCTAGGGGGCTAATACTGTTTGTGAATGAAAATCAATGAGACGCACTGAAATATCTTAAAGCTCATAAATGCCAGATCTGTGTCCAGAAGAGGGGGAGGGGAGGGGAACTTAAAAACAATAATAAACCATTTACATTCACAGGGAAATCTTCATCAAAAGCAAAATGATGATGACCAGAGAGAATCCTGAAATACCTGACTTTTTTAAGACAGAGAAAAGTAGCAATACGTTTTTATAATCCACTGGAACCAAAGGTATTTTATCCCAAGAACACAATTCAAATTCAGTATTAAAAACCAAAACCAAAATCACTGCCCTGAAGTTGGACCCGACTCATAGTGACCCCTCCTTTGGTTTCTGAGGCGGTATCACTACGGAAGTTGATCACCCAACATTCCTTGTGAGGAGTGGCTGGTGGGTTTGAACTGCCAGCCTTCTGGTTAGCAGTCACACGCCTTAGGCACTACACCACCAGAGCTCCTAAATTCATTATTAGGAAATATTTTTCTACGATACATTACATATAAATAAATTATATAAAAATCATAATCATCTCAACAAATGTAAAAACCCACTTAAGAGAATCAAAATCACTCCTAATTATGTTCTCTAAAAGGAAAGGACTAGACAGTCACTTCTTTAACATGGTAGAGAGTAAATGTTTCAAATCATCAGCAGGCGGCGTATCTTAAAGTAAAATAAAAAATGGCATATCTCTTATGTCTTGACGTCTGCTAATACTATTTGCAAAGAAGGAGAGTTTATCTTCTTCTGGGTCACCTTTATTACACTAACCACAACTTCTACTGCAATTTTAAGTAGTAATGGTGATGGTGGACACCTAGTACTGTGTCTAATTCTGGCTTTTAAATGTGTCTTATTTAATATAATACTAAATATATTTATAGTCTCTAAATCAGTGGTTTACAATTGACTCTACCCCTCAATGTCTAAAGATATTTTTGTTTGCCACAACTCATGTGGGACCTGGGAATGGGGAGCAGTTGCTAATGGCACCTAATGGGTGGAGGCCAAGGCTGTTGTTAAACCCAGTAATATGCACAGGCCAGCCCCCCACAACAATGAATTATCCCATCCAACAGGGCAAAAGTGCTGAGGTGTATATGGTTCTGAACAAGTAGTCACTATTTTTAGAGAGTTACAGACAGTTAGAAAATTTATTCAGAAAAGTTTCTAATTTTCCTTGACAAGTCTGGTTAATAATATATTTAGGCTTATTTTCATTATTTACATATTTCAGTATTGGAGGAATGACTTGGGAGTTACAAGGTTCCACTTTTTAAAGAACCTTTTAAAAAATTAGATTTTTGAAGCTAATACCATGATGCAATAACAAAAACACTTTACCCTGAAGTGGAGCTTCTCTGGCTGGCTCCGGATTGCTTGGGGGGTGGTTTGGAAGAACAGGAGGCACAAGGGATGAGTGATCTTCTGTCCATTCTATGAGAAAGAGAAGAGACTCATGTTTTTGCTTCAAATGGGTGGTTTATTTTCTGAAGACTCACCTTCCTAATAATAAACCCAAACCAATAAAATCTAAACAGATAGCTTAGATTAAAAGAAAGTTGCTACCTCATCCCCTTCTATGTTAAGGATATCAAGACCTTTATCTTGATCTCTCTATCTCTTTGGTCCAAGACCTCCAGGGAAAGAAATGTGATAGAATCAATTAAAACTCCAGTTCTCTGTAGCTGCAAAGTCCAGTGGGGAACTAAGTAAGAAATGATGGGAAAGATAGAAAGCCCACTAACGCCATCCCTAGAAGAGAGCAATTTCTCTGATGCAATAGAGTGATAAGCTGGACTGCTGCAGCCTTCTTGGTTCAGGCAGAAGCCTGATTTCAGCAGTTCCCTAACATGCCATTTTCTAACATCTCAAGTGAAATTCAAATAGGACGTATACCAATACTCTTGGGTCCTAACTGTAGTCTTATGTATCTTAAAACAAACCAAACAAACTTGCTGCTGTCGAGTCGACTGCGACTCACAGCGACTGTTCCTTGGGTTTTCCAAGGCAGTGTCTCTACGGAAGTAGATTGCCCAATCTTTCCTCCAGGAGTGGCTGGTGGGTTTGAACTGCCAGCCTTCTGGTTAGCAGTCAAATCCCTTAAGTGCTATGCCACCAGAGCTCCCCTTATTCATCCTAGAGGCCCAGAAATACACTGTAGTGGGTGATCCTGCCTAATGCCATAAGCGCTATGGCACCAGACCTTCCCTACACACACAAATATATAGTCTATAGTACAACTTTGGTAAATGATTGGCCCTTGGGCCAAATCTGTCCAACGATTTTCATATCACCTGCGAATTAAGAATGGATTTTACATTTTTTAAAGGTTTAAAAAAAATAAAGAGAATAACCATTTATGACACATGCAAATTACATAAAATTCAAATTTCACAGTCCATAAATAAAGTTTTAGGAGCTCTGGTAGCATAGTGACTAAGGTTTTGACTGCTAACCAGAAGGCTGGCTGTTCAAATCCACCAGCCACTCCTCAGAAGGAAGGCTGGGCAATCTACTTCCATAGAGATATCACCTCGGAAACCCAAGGAGAGGTCGCTATGAGTCGGAATCGACTCGACAGCAGTGAGTTTGGTTTTGGTTTAGTACTATAATAAGGACAGCTGTCTCAATTGATATTCACATATTAAACCTATTGATATTGAGGGTGAAGACTACTAAACCTATTTTAAAACACCACAATGAAAAACTGGAAAGAATATAAGCATCTATTAATAAATGAGTAAATACAACTGAGACATTCATAAAATAGAACATCTTGCAAGCATTACAAATTATAAGGTAAATCCATATTAACCAACATGGAAAGATGTGCTAGAAATATATTTTTAAGTTAGAAAAACAGGTTGCAAAACAACATATATAGTACAATCTTATTTTCATTAAAATATACCTATGTGTATACCCCCAAGAAATTTCTGCACTTGATCACTGAGAATGGGATGAGGCACACAGGGAAGAATGTAATGTTCTCCAATTCTGAATTGTTCATATTTTTAATGAAGTGGATGAATTAATTTGTAAGTTTGAAAAAGCACTCAAACTGACCAGCTTTTCCTGACTCTTACATGTAATGTTCCCCAAATTAAAATTTGTTGTATGCCAGTAACTTTACTTAGAGCAGAAGTGCTAATAAAAGTGGTTGGGACTGAGATACAAGTTGTGTAAATGTTGCTGATGGAAGATTCTTTCCTCTTCAGGTCGTTTAACAGTCTAACGACAGAGACGGCATTTAAAATCTCCACTTCCTAAATCAAAGTGGAAACGGAGATGCCTCTGAATTGGCCTCCCTCAGTTTACTGTTCAGGGCTCCTTAGCCTGCCCATCATCAAAACCCATTCTGACCACACGGGGGTGTTGGCAGCCAGGCTTCACCCTGAGCACTCCTGCCTGTAGCTCACGATAAAGCCTCGCAGGGGAAGCCAACCTTCTGGTTGTTGCTGTTGCTGTTGTTGTTGTTGTTGTTGCTGCTGCTGCTGCTCAAGCTGCTTCTTCCGTTTGGCTTCCAGAACTGGGTTCTCATATTGCGTCTTCCTGTTGATGTGGCTGGGGAAGATGGCAAACAGTATTCAGTTAGGAAACATTTCATCCCACAAGCAAAACGCTAGCCAAGCCAAATTCCGTGATTAGAAATGAACAAAGCAGGTGGTCTGAGATGTTTACCATCTTGTGTCAAAAATGGGCAGTCAGGGAGAGGAAATAAAAATTAATAGCTTCCATATACTCCTGGTTCTGTACCAGGCACTGTGCTATCTGTTTTGCATGCATATCTTAAAATCCTCAGTAAATGCCATGAGGCAGGTCCTATTTTTATTCCTATGTTATGGATAAGGGAAGCAAATTTCTGAGCAGTCAGGTAATAACTCATCAAATATATCACAGCTAGTGAGCAGTACAAGAAGCATGCAAGCTCAGGTGTGTCGGCTTTACCACACCAGGATTTTAAACACCCAGTCTCCCCAAACGTTCAAGGTTTCACCTGACACAGGAAGTTTTAAATTCAATAAGAAGTGGATTAAAGAACTGTTGAAAAATGAGATTAAAGTAGAGATGTGACACTGTCTGTAACATAAAATTTCATGTGTAACTTTTCTACAATAGGTTTTACAGAGACATAAGTATTCACCCAAACAAAGAAATTAAAGAAAGACTCCACTAACCTCCATCAGCTACTTTGATCAATAGACACAAAGCTGGATTAAAAATATAGGCCTTAGGCAAAAAGACTCCAAGTAAAGCCTACCTAAGCAGATGTGTTCTAAGTGACAAAGACCTAGATACATTTTTGGATGTCTGCAAAACTAGTAAGCCCAGAGCAATAAAAAAAAAAAATAAAATAAATCATATACATATAGATACACACACATACATTAAAACTTGTGAAAGCCAGAACCTGTGTAAGGAACCTATCAGAGAAGAAAAACTAATTAGGTTTTTATGAGGCAGGATTTGTAATAGACAGTGATATAAAAGTAGTCAGCATTCTGTTGAAGGCGAAAAACTTGAGAGACCCAGAAAACGAAGGTAGTCCTCATGTTTGCATACATATTATATACTACACATTTTTTTGCCACAACCTTTGTGTGTGCATGTGTGTGTGTATAACTGTGACAGCTAGAACCTCTGTAAAGTGGAAAGCTATTCGATAAAGAAATTCAAATGTATTCTACTAATAGAGAGTGACAGAAAAGTAGCAAGACGGTATCCTGTCAAAGGTGGAGAAACTGCAAGACCCCAAAAACAAGGCAGTTCTGATGAGTTCCAGCTCTCACGGGTTTCACTGTATACACAGACATTACACAAATATATATACACACCAACATACACATACTCATGTTTGTATTAATTAAAATCAAGTCAACATTATACTTTGTTAGGCATTTGGGAAGATATTTATCATGTGATTATTTACAACTTTAAGTATTTTTAAAGCCACATGAAAGGATTAAGGCAGGACTGTAACAGAAGGTGGACAAATTGAATTCCCTTACTGCTTATTACGGGTCTACTCTTTTATTTCCTAATTCGTGTAGATAATTTCATTCTAGGAAACAGTCTAACATCAAAAGGCAAGAAGACTTGAAAAGACATAGGAAGGAGAAGGATATAGTAAGATAATGACTTTCCCTTCAAACCATGTCTCTTCATCCATCAAAGCTGTTACCCTTGTTTCTTTTCTCTCCCAATGCACAAACTAGTTGAGGGAGAACTCAAAATAAGCCCTCAATAGGCCAAAACCCCTCTGCACATCTTCAAAAAGGATGCTCTGTGGGCACACAATGGAAATTTGTTTTATGACACTCAAGAGAAATGACTGAATCTGCATCTCTGATGCCCAAATCACTCCTTGATAGGTAAAGAGGAAGCAATGTTAGTATCAGCCAAGGATGCCTGCTATATTGAACTCATAATTTTTTACAATAAAATACTGAATATTTTATGGTCTGTAATTTTCATATCGTATGTTCACACCACCAAGGTATTAAACAAATGACTTTTCATTGCCAGCAGCATGAAGGAGAGAAAGCATACTAGTCATCTTCATTGTGGCTGGTATGATTATTGTGACTATCGAACATTTATATGGCATCTGTTTCTTTCAAAGGACATTTTATTAGTTATTTCTCATCTTTTTCAGAGGATATGATATAAAGTGTATTTTTCAATGTTTTAGCTCTTGGATTTTAGAAATTTTCTTCTAGTATCACCCTATCAATAGATTGTGGTTGCAGTTAGCTGCTGTTGGGCTATTTGTCAACTTAAGGCAACCTCGTGCACAACGGGAAGGAAACAGTGTGATCCACAGGGTTACAGTTGGAATGGTTTGCAGAAGTAGATTGCCAGGCCATTAGTCCTAGTCTGCCTCAGCCTGGATTGTCTGCTGAAACCTGTTGCATCACAGCAACATGAAAGCCTTCACTGATGGAGGGGTATTAGCTGCATGTGAGGTACACTGATGGAGAAGTGAACCTAGGTCTCCCACGTGGAATTCCCACGTGAGAATTTCAGCACTGAACCACCAATGCTTTCAGTTCTTTTGAAAAGATGAAGTGCATGTCCAATGCCAGAATAAGGTACACAGTAAAGAGGCGAGAGTGACAGTGAGACTTTCAAAATGGAAAAAAGGAGTTACATGCATGGTCTTTAGACAAGGGAGATATAAGGAGGCATAAAAGCTCTTGCCACTTGGGATGGTTCACAACTTCCTTCTTAATCTTGATAATATTTCATAAATTACTGAGATTTGTCTGACCCGTTTAGGGCAGGGCACAAGTAGGCAAAACAGGTCTTCCTCTTGAAGAGAAATTCACTCTATTCACCTTGTCTAATAAACGCTGAGTTTTCTCAGTTTTTCATTCAACTAATATTTTTTAAGAATCTGCCATAAGTCAGGACAATGCTGGGCCTTGGTAAAACAGTGGTAAACAAAATAGACATCGATCTTTCCCTCATGAATTTACTTTCATCACATTTCCTGAATACGTTCTCATTCATTAAAATATACACATTTTTTTTCATTATCAAACGAACAATGTTGTCGTTAGCTGCCGGTGAGTCATCTCCTGACTCACAGTGACCCACACACAATGGACTGAAATGCTGCCTGGTCCTGCAGATTGAAGCGCTGCTGAAACCTGTTCAGAGTTGGAGCAGAACACAAGCCTCCACTGGCAGGTGGTTTGACGGTGCATGATGTACACTGACCTGGGGTCACACCCAGGTCTCTCACACGGAAGGCAAGAGTTCTACCACTGAACCACCAATGCCCCGGTAAAACTAGTATTACATTATTATTCTCATTATAATTATTCAGTGTTGGTATCTTAGAGTGATGATAACCTCTGTGAAGCATAAATGTACATAATTACAGAGAAGGTATAGACTAAAGTGTGGAGTGTTAACAGGTACTCACTCTACATAGTAGATACCATAGACAGGGTCTTCAATCTTTTCCCAACCAGCAGGCAGTTCTGAAAAAGAGGATAATATTTAGAAGAACATGTACATATTGTTGAAGGGCCTGTGGATTTTCGATAAACAAGTTAGGCATAAAGAGAAAGACTTGTTAAAAAAAAAAAAAGTTTTAAATCCAAATTTTAAAAAAATATATATGTACTAACAAAAAAAAAGTGTGCATAATTTTTATTTGGCAAAATAGTGTTTTCCTACATGAAGAGCAACTCTTTATCTACTGATATTTTACACAAGAAACTAAGACTTAATAAAATGTAGCTCCAGATGCCTTCATTCTAAGTCAACTATTAAATTAGGTTTTAATAGAAATATAGTTAAAATTTGCCTTGAATACCTACTTCCTGTTTTAAATATTTATGATTTCTCATTTCGTTTCTTGACTACCTTATGAAACAAGCAATAAATGGATGAAAATTAATGTTTCCTTTCATTTTCAATACAATAACGTGGTTTTGCTCTCCAAGGACTAAGTAAAATTTGCATCTATTTTTTCCTTGTTCTATGGAAATAAAAATATCCAAATGGAAGTAGGTTTTTGATTTGCATGGATCTGTCACTCAATTACTGTGTCTGGACAAGCCCATCTTCCCCAGCACTTTACCTTGGAGAGCAGGGATCAGGTCCTGCTTCCAAGTGCTTCCTGCCCATGAGGGCAGACCTGATTCTTTTACATGGAGCAGTAAGATCGGTGTTGGGGGATGTATGTGTCTTTCTGAAAAGTCAACCAAGTTCTGCTGGACTTTATTCCATAGGGTTTCATATTATAGGTTGCAAATTCATTAGCCAAATAACAGTGAGCTCTGTTATAACAAAATGGAAAAGCCCATTGCACCAGGTTGATTGTAGCTGCTGCAAGAAGCAAACAGGATGTGTTCCATGTCATGAAGCACTTCTTTCTGGCACAGCAGCAATTACTCAACTTAATTTCAAACCTACCCTTATAAATACACAGTTAAGGCAAGCTTGTAAGATATCATTATTCCTGTAAGTATCTATTAACCCCATCTTGACTAGAATACTGTAACCACTTGAAATACCACTTATTTTAAAATATTAGTTTTTTGGTGTTTTTTTTTTTTTTAATCAAGTTATCCTGTTGGTCACTATTTCCAAATAGTGAGAATTTCATCAGGACACAGGACTTACATATGCCATCAACAGTTCCAGACTGAAATGGAGGCACACAAACACACACAGACTAATTACTGAAGGTTTATGTTGTGTTCAAATTTGGCTGCACATCAAGAGACATTAATTTCATGGTTTTTGCTTTACATGTTACTTGTTTGCCAACAAAAAGACAGGTTTTCCCTCTTTTCTTCTAATTTAAAAAAAAAACAAAAAACTTGGCATGACGTTCAGCAGGTTTTAAAGAAGTCTTTCAATTCTGGGAGACAAGCTACTGAAATGCAAGACAGGTTCAATTTGCAGATGCTGATGCAACTTGTCATTTTTATATGCTGAGTCTTGGGGACTGAAGCAAATCGAATGCCTGGGAAACAGTTTCCCATTACAAGGTTGGACATTACCACTTAATGAAAACGAACCAGGGAAGTATTTCCAAAGAGTTTGAAAATTGAAGATTTTAAAAAATGCCAATTGCTGCACAGCACTCTGTGTCTTCTGGCATGGGACAAAAGAGTGTGTGAACATGAAGGGACCACCTCATGTTTAATGGAATCCAAACCTCCTCAAAATCTGCATTGCAAATATTTAGCAGTCTTTAGATGAAATAGGGAAAATAATGTGAATTCACTTTGCTCAATTATTAATTTGAAAAACATTTATTGAGTGCCTACTCTTTGCCTAAGAGTGTGTAAGGCATCGGGGACACAGAGTTAACTCAAAAATCACTCTCCAAGCAGAAAATTTAAACAACCTGTGGCAAGTACTTTGATGTAAAAGCATGGAGGGGACAAGAAAGGAAGTACCCTCTAATCTTTTTTTTCTGTTTTGTAGTCTACAACCTACACTTCTGGAGCTGAAAAATGGAGCTGGTCAACTGATATTTCTGAAGACATATGTAAATTTAAATTCTTCTATCTTTTGAATCAGATTACTAAATTCCCAAAATATTCCAGTTTTTCAAGTTAAAACTCATTTTAAATTGAAAAGATAGGTTTCTCACTTCCAATGTGGTGATTATCTTAATAATAGGAATTAGTATCCCAATGCTTAAAATAGAAATGGGTCATCAACTTAAAAAAGGAAGATGTTTGTCCTACTATTTGCTACTGGGTTCTAAAAAAACTGAAAATGGGAGAAAATATTTAAGCCCAGAAAATAATTAACCCATTGCCTTCAAGTTGATTCTAACTTATACCAAAAAAAGAAAAAAACCAAACTCACTGCCTGCCATCAACTTGAATCCAACTCATAGCAACCCCTCCTTGGTTTTCTGCTGTGGTATTTCTATGGAAGTAGATTGCCCAGTCTTCTGTCTGAGGAGTGGTTGGTGGGTTTGAACTGCTAGTCTTCTGGTTAGCAGTCAAATGCATTAGGCACTACACCACCAGAGCTAACTCACAGCAACCCTGTAAGACAGAGTAGAATTTCCCCACAGGGTTTCCAAGGATGTAAATCTTTTAGGAAGCCAACTGCCAGGTCTTTCTCCTATGGAGTGGTTGGTAGGTTCAAACCACTGACCTCAGCAGCTGAGTGTTTAACCACTGTACACTAGGGCTACAGAAAAGAATTACATTAAAATTTTGTTTACTAAAAAAACTCTCATGTTGACTGAAGAACCATCCTCCTATGTTTAGGCAATAAAGGAGAATGTCATAGACATTACAGGTAACTAGAACCCTTTTGGGGGTTGCCAAGATCTGGGATTGAGCCTTAGCTCTACCACTTCATTGCTCTGTGGCTCTGGGTCTCTGAACCACATCTACCTCCTAGATTTAGCAAAAGTCAGCTGTGGATGAAATGAAGATGCTACTAAAACACTTGCCCCAGCACCTCGTATACAGGAAGTGTTTAAGATGGCAACTGTTAAGAAAGACCAAAAAGAACAGGACAGATTTATATGGCCTACATGCTTACTATTCCTGCCTCTCATGTTGTATTATTCTGTCACCACAGAAGCAAAAGTGAGCAGCCAAATGTTCTCAGATCTTTTCAAAGGAGATCTGTCAGCACACAGATCATAGGCATGTGCAAAATCTGAGCTGAATTTCACAATGGTGTCTTAGTTTTGGTTAGGAGGGGAACTTTTTTCCTGTGTCTACCTGTCCTCATTAGTTTCACCATATATATATATATATAGTCGATAATTCTCAAAGAAGGCTCTGCAAGCGTTTCTCACTTCTGGGCTATGTCTCCAGAGGATGCAATAAATTCTGCAAACCAAAAGTGCGTAATGGACCCAGCTCAAACAACAGACTTCTGAAATGACAACCCTGTAATCAAGTGATCTGTGTCCAACACTCAAGCCAAACGACCATGCCTCTCAGAGACAGATTACAGAGAGGGTTTCATTGTCACATCTGGAATCGCACTGTTCACAGAAAACCTGACAGTTGCTATTGTTTGAAATTAGGACCCTCTTATTAAGAAAATGGGCAGTAAGTTTGTCAATAGAACCTGGAGTGAATGCAACAGAAAACAGTATGTGGTTCTACCCAAAGCAGTCTATACATTCAGTGCAATCCCAATCCAGATCCCATTAACATTCTTTAGGGATATGGAAAAAACTATCACTAACTTTATATGGAAAGGAAAGAGACCTCGGATAAGCAAAGCACTACTGAAGAAGAAAAACAAAGTAGGAGGTCTCACATTGCCGGATCTCAAAACCTACTATACAGCCACAGTAGTCAAAACTGCCTGGTATTGGTTCAATGACAGATACATAGACCAATGGAATAGAATTGAGAACCCAGATATAGATCCATCGACCTATAGTCAGCTGATCTTTGACAAAGGCCACAAATCCATTAAATGGGGAAGAGAATGTTTGTTTAATAAATGGTGCTGGCAAAACTGGAGATCCATTTGCAGAAAAATGAAACAAGATCTGTACCTCACACCACACACAAAAACAAACTCCAGATGGATCAAAGACTTAAATGTGAATCCTAGAACTATACAGTTTCTCAAGGAAAATTTAGGGTCAAACTTAAGGGCCCTAATATATGGTATAAATAGACTATCAAGTATAACTAAAATGCACAAATAGCAGAAGAGAAGCCAGATGATTGGGACCTTCTAAAATTTAAATTTTTATGTGCTTCCAAAGACTTCTCCAAGAGTCAAAAGAGAACCTACAGATTGGGAAAAAATATTTGGTAATAACATATCTGACAAGGGACTTATCTCTAGAATTTATAGAACACTCCAACACCTCAATAACAAAAAGACAACCAATCCAATTAAAAAATGGGCAGAAGACATGAATAGACACTTCACCAAGGAGGATATTCAAGCGGCCAACAAACATATGAAGAAATGCTCACGATCATTAGCTATTACAGAGATGCAAATCAAAACAACAATGAGATACCATCTTGCTCCAGCACTAGTAGCAAAGTTCAAAGTTCAACAAGACAGAAAATATCAAATGCTGGCGAGGTTGTGGAGAGATTGGGACTCTCATACACTGCTGGTGGGACTGTAAAATGGTACAACCATTGTGGAAAGCAGTATGGTGATTCCTTCAAAAGTTGGAAATACAAATACCATTTGACCCAGCCATCCCATTACTAGGTATATACCCTAAAGAAGTGAGAGCCAACCTAGATGTCCAACAACTGAGGAATGGATAACCAAACTATGGTACATACACACAATGGAATACTATGCAACGCTAAAGAATAATGTAGAATCTGCAAAACAACGTATAACGTGGATGAACTTGGAGGACATTATGCTGAGTGAAATAAGTCAGTCACAAAAGGACAAATATTGTATTAGTCCGTTATTGTAAAAGTTAAGGAAAGGTTTATCTATTGGAGGACATTTTCTTTGTTGGATACCAGGGGTGGGAGGGGAGGGAACGCTATTAGATAGATAAAAATAAATATTGATTTGGGTGAAGAGAAGGGCAATGTACCAAATGTGAGTGACCAATATGGCAGCATTGAGGATGAGAAAGACATAGAGAGTTACATGAGTAGTACAGACAACAAATATGAACCCTTTTGCATATACAGTACTGAGTTGTCAGTGAAAGCAAACATGGGTATATGGACGGATAGATGGGTGAACAAGCTAAACAATTAGGTATGTCTAAATGGGGAGTGTATCCAAGATCATATATAGGGTTGGCAGACAATGGGCCTATAAGTTCATGTGAATGATCAGAATTCCCAGGTGTATAGTAGAGCTGACAAGGGGCAAGGTTATGGTCATTGCTTGGTCACAGCCAGCTACCCAGAGGGACCGAGTAGTTGATCCTGCGGGCTTGGGACCATAGTCGCAGGGGACATCAAGCTCAATTGGCATAACATACTATACAAAACATTGTTCCACCTACTACTTTGGCTAGTAGCGACTGGGATCTTAAAATCTAGCAAGCTGCCATCTAGAAGCAACAATGGGTCTCTCCTCGTCAAGAAGGAAGAAGAAAACCAAAATTAATGGAAACAATCAGTCCTAGTGACTGGTACACCATCCGATCTGCAACCTATACAACTATGAGACCAGAAGAACTAGATGGTGCCCAGCTACCACTGTTATCCATGGAAGGGATGTAGGAGATCCTGCATAGAGAGGGAAAACAATGTGGAACAAAACTCAAAATCATTTGGAGGCAAAAAAAAAAAAGAAGGTGGGGACCAGGTTTGCTGGTCCAATAGAGCCTGGTGCAACCACTGAGACTATGGCCCCTAGCTGCCCTTCAGGTCTGGAATTGAACCCACAACTGTGGTTTCCAGCCAAACAAAGTACAGGCATGTGAGTTAAACATTTACCTCAAGTAGACACACGCCCTGGAGAGAACAATCATGGGAGAAGGAAGGGCTGCTTATGCACAGGGAGACAGCTCAGGGCGCAGAAGAGTATGGAGGGATGGACACTGGGAAGAGGTAACTATGGGGAGGAAGTGGGAGGGGAGCTGTTGCATTGTAAATTTTGGTCAGTGACATGAGACAAAGTATATGTGAACTGCTGTATGAAAAGTGAATTTACTCTGTAAATCTTCACCCAAATCAAAATAAAATTAAAAAAAAGAAAACAGTATGTGTCTGTGGGAGCCAATCTTGACATGGTACACAAGTGTAAGCAAAAATATCTTATGTATAAAGGCACATGAAGGCTATTTCTGTAATAGAATAACTTCCTTCCCTGTCCTGTATTAGAGAAAAAAAGGGACACAAGAAAACATTGAAATTCCAACAAAAAGGAATTAATAAATAAGGAAACTGGTAATAACAGTTACATGTTCTGATCACAAGGATGGATATTAAGATACTCTCATTAAATCTTGTCACAAGCACCATGGGTGTTACCACATTAACTCCTCTTGACAAATAAGGAATGGGAAGCTAAGAAGAGTTACATAATTTGCCTAAGCCAGTATAGTAAGTAAAGTGGGGCAGCTGGACTATGAAGCCAAGCATCTTGATATGATTCAGAGACAACTCCACCACTCATCAAACCATAACTGGAATAGAGGTTATGGGACTGAGAAGGGATATGATGTACCCATTTCAACTTGTTTTTTAGAGTCTTTAACAGGATAGGAATGTACCCACAGTATAATAGTCACATAGAAAACAACATAATTGCTTCTTTCCCTAAAATTTCAACATGTACACTTCCACAAGGTTATGTCCCTGAGCAGAGCTGTGTTATTTCCACTGGGCACCTACAGTAGGCACAGGGTCACTCACACATATTAGCCAAGTATCAAGAATTGTATAAACTGGTTCAACAAAATGATTAGGACACTCATTTCATGTCTGGTAAATCTAGTTGTGTCTATTTTAATTCCTTACCTAAAATCACTGAATTGACATATTTGCTTCTGATAAAATTAGCTTCAAATTTTGCTATTATTTATAGTTAACCTCAAGCATTCCTACTGTAATGGCCGTGAGGACACTTTATTGAATATCTTTAAAAATAGATCACTCAATAGTTATCAACCATCATGCTGGCACATCCATCCATTACAATAGGATATGTTCCAAACATTAAGAAAAACAGAGCTAAACTCTATCATACCCTAACTCTAGTCAAGTGTGACTAGACTATATAAAAATAAATGAAAACAATAATCTGAATTAAAATACATTGGTATTTCCAATTATTAAGGTACTCTCAAAAGTGCTAGGCAGATTCAATAATCTTAGGACAGTTCTATTCATATTGATGATCTTCTATTTAACATAAACACTACAGTCAACTTTCAATTAGCCAAGGCTTTCATCTGCAATTCAGCCGAAGCTTGTGCTTCCTCAACTAGTGCTAAGTGGATGCATCAGATGGAATGCAAATGAATTTTAATATTGCTCTCAGTTGAACATAAAACATCTAACTGAGCAGGGAAGACAATTCAATATATTCCAACAGGCAAGATAAAAGAGTTTGGCATTATCTGGTTACGTAAATTATTTCTGAGCCATGATACTAGAGCAGTCAACACTTGATTTACATTAATGCACTCTAAGGAAAATGGCACATCGAAACATGGCATGATCCTCAAGCCATTCACAACAGCGGCAAAGTCAACACATGGAGCACGTGACTTAAAAACATAATACTAAGACTTATTAACTATTCCATTAATCATTAGAATTATTTTATGATTGCTATTCATACAACAATCCTTAGTCTTGTGGAATTTTGCTTACCCTGGCTTTTTTGGGGTATTACCCATGTAGATAAGCACTGATACTAAACAAATAAAGAAATAAGGTTTTGATGGGTACCGTGAAAGTTCAAGCAACACAACAAGCGTTTCTTCTGTTCTTAGCCAGCCCTCAATTTATAAAACTACCTATCGTACATTTGTTAACTTCTTCTCATCTCAGTTCTCTCACTTCTTCTTTGTGGATACAATTTTTTTTTTTTTTTTTTTTTTTTACAAATCTGTGTGATGCCTGCTGTCTGGACTGTAAGATTGACTTTTGTGGACAGACTGAAATGAAAATCATAATTGGAGAAGTGTAAACTAAAAACAGAGGGATTAAGCAATTCACTGGAGACAAATCCATGCAGGGCAAGGCATGAAGCAGCCAAAGGCTGGGACATTTACCTAGTTCACTGTCCAGCTCCTCGGTGTGTACCCCTTCTTCTCCAAAGGAAGAGCAGGAAGGAGACAGAAAAGAGAGAGACATTCAGACACTGGCACCAAGACAGAAATTCCCTTCAGAAACAAAGCAGCAAACATATCACTTTATTTTGTCCTTACCTGCACTGTGGCTTATTTCATTGGCTTGACTAGTAAACTTGTGACCTCAGTGTAAATCACAAAACATTAAGAGCTTGTATTGGCAAAATAATTATATGGCTCATTTCCTTGCATGTCAAAATAGGGTTTGATTGGTTGTAAAAGATGACAAATACTTCTGTGGTTTCAATGTTCTGAAGTGAGAAGGACTTATTACAGACGTTATTTCCAATAAACAAAGCTGTTAGGCCTTTCAATATTGGTCCTTTTAATCCTTCAATATCCTCTAATCAGCAAGGCAATTACACTCACAACTAAAGTATAACTTAACTTAAAAGTAATACTGCTGCCTGAAAAATGGGATGGAAGGTGAGGTCAAATTGGGAATGTAGATTGTAAAATGAGCTACATTTCAATGTCTTTCAAAGGCAGCTAGAAAGATGAGCTGATGTCATAATGATGTTCATCAAGGTCGCAAGTGAATTCCAGTGAAGGCTGCCCTGAAGGGGTAGTGGGAAGCAGAGTCTACTGATTCTATGTTTGCATATAAGATTTTTAAGTGATACACCTGAGAAATATTAGAATGAGAATGTTCTCAGTAATTACAGTGAGCAAAACAAGTCAAGATCCTTTCCAGTCTCAACCTCCTCCTCCTCAGTATGGCACTGTATTATTAGAGAACATAGGACTGGACACAATAAATCATTTCATACAAAAAATCTCTGCAACTATAGAGCAGGCAATTGTCACTATCACTGCAAGCTCCACAAACACCACTGAAGTAAATCTAGTGCCCTCTGTAGTGCCAGGTATATGATAAGTATTTCTTGAATGAATGAATGAATGAATGAGTCATTGCCTTTGATAAACATGACCATACAAATTCTGTAAATACTTGATTTCAATTGTATACAATTGTAAATAATAAATGTTGACACTGGCACTGTTCTTAAAAAGGAAATGCGACTTGCACAAATCTTTCACAAAACTGCTTATTTGGATATTATCTAATAATTTTGAGGGGGATTTATTTATCAGCACTACAGAAGTGGATTGCCCTATCTTCCTTCTGAGGAGTGGCTAGTGGGTTTGAACCACCACCCTTCTGGTTAGCAATAAAATGCCTTAGGCACTCATGCCACCAGAGACTCCTTAATTATTTATTGAGGCTTATTATATACCATCACTGTGGTAGGTGACAGAGATATAAAAATGTGCAAAACCAGGTATCTCTCTATTCTTTTGGAAGAGAAAGGAAGTCCAAGAGTCACATAAATAAACCTAAAGTTAAAATTGTGATAAAGTCACTAGATTGAGATCTAGAACAAAGTGACCTTACCACATCTAAAGGCAAAGTAGTGTGAAAAGTCCCTGAGCCATGATCTGAAGGATATGTAAAACACATCCAAAAGTCTTTTGGAGAAAAATGATTAAAATGCAAGCACTATAAGAATAGGGCTTTTTGTCTGCTGTATTTGTTCTGATACATTTGAAATGCCAAGAACGTACCTGACACAGAGAAGCCACTTAATAACTAATTGTGAAATATAAGAATATTCTAAGAAAAGGGAACCACATATCGAACTGTCATGAAGCAGGAACTCAATGAGGAACAGTGGGGATGAAGAGCAGAGAGTGAGTGGAAGAAAGGTGGGAGAGGCCAAATCACATCGGGCTTGGAGAGGCAACTTACAAACCTGGCATTTAGTCTCAGATAAGCAGACAGCCAGTGGGTTTATCGGGGTGGTCAGTGATAACATAATCACAATTACATTTCAAAAAGATTGCTTGGCTGCAGTGTGAAGGAAAAAAAAAAAAAAAAGAGAGTGGGCAAGAGTCCAGGTGGGAGAGAAGTGTGATCTGGATTAGGATGGTAAAGAGGCTGAGGAAAAAGTGAATGGATTCTAGAAATGCTTAAGAGGTAATGTGATCTCAGCTGTTGACAGTTATAAATGGGTTTGAAAAAAGGTGACAGATCAAAGAGGACTCTTAAGTCTACAGGAATTAACTCTCAACTGAGACAGGGAACACTTGGAAAAAATCAGATTTTTCTTGGGGGGGGGCTGTTGTTGTTCTTCTTAGGTGCCATTGACCCATCTCCAACTCATAGTGACCCTATGCACAGCAGAATGAAACACTGCCCGGTCCTGCGCTAGTTCCATGATCCCTGCTATACTTGAGCTCTTGCAGCTATTGTGTCAAAACATCTCATTGAGGGCCTTCCCCTCCCTCATCGACCCTCCACCTTACCAAGCATGACATCCTTCTCCAGAGAATGGTCCCTTCTGAAAACATGACCAAAGCAGGTGGGACGAAGTCTGGCCATTCTGGCTTCCAAGGTGCATTCCAACTGCACTTCCTCCAGGACAGATTTGTTAGATCTTTTAGCAGTCCATGGCACTTTCAGCATTCTTCACCAGCACCACAACTCAAAAGCATCAACTTTTCTTCAGTCTTCCTTATTCATTGTCTAGCTTTCACATGGATATAGGGCAACTGAAAATACCATGTCTTGTGTCAGGCGCACCTTAGTCCTCAAGGAGACATCTTTGATCCTCAGCACTTGAAAGAGGTCCTTTGCAGCCAATTTTCCCAGTGCTATACATCGTTTGATGTCCTGACTGCTGCTTCCATTGGCACCGATTATAGAACCAAACAATGTGAAGTCTCTGACAACGTCAATCTTTTCCCCATTTATCACGATGCTGCCTATAGGTCCAGTTGTGAGGATTTTTGTTTTCTTTATATTGAGATGTAATCCATACTGCAGACTGTATTCTTCAATCTTCATTAGTAAGTGCTTCAAGTCATCCTCACTTTCAGCAAGCAAAGTCATATCAGCGTATTGCAGGTTGTTAGTGATTCTTCCTCCAATCCTGATGCCACGTTCTTCTTCATATAGTCCAGCTTCTCAGATTATTTGCTCAGCATACAGATTGAATAAGTATGGTGAAAGGATACAACCCTGACACACCCCCTTCTTGAGTTTAAACCATGTAGTATTCCCTTTTTCTGTTCAAACGACAGCCTCTTGGTCCATGTACAGGTACCTCATGAGTACAATTAAGTGTTCTGGAATTCCCATTCTTCTCAGTGTTATTCATAATTTGTTATGATCCACAAAATCAAATGGTTTTGCGTAGTCAGTAAAACACAAGTAAACATCTTTCTGGTATTCTTTGCTTTAAGCCAAGATCCATCTGACATCAATAATGATAACCCTCGTTCCATGACCTCTTCTGAATCCAGCTTGCATTTCTGGAAGTTCTCTGTCAATATACTGCTGCACCATTTTTGAATTATCTTCACTAAGATTTTACTTGCATGTGATATTAATGATACTGTTCGATAATTTCTACATTCTGTTGGATCACCTTTCTTTGGCATGGGTACAAATATGGATCTATTCCAGTCAGTAGACCAGGTAGCTGTCTTCCATATCTCCTGGCATAGCTAAGTGAGTGCCTCCAGCAGGGCATTCATTTGTTGAAACATCTCAATGGGTATTCTGCCAATTCCTGGAGCCTTGTTCTTCGCCACTTCCTTCAGTGCAGCTTTGACTTTCTTCCTTCAATACCATTGGTTCCTGATCATAAGCCACTTCCTGAAATGGATGATCAACCAGGTCTTTTTGGTACAGTGATTCTGTGTATTCCTTCCATCTTCTTTTGATGCTTCCTGCATCATTCAATATTTTGCCCATAGAATCTTTCAATATTCTAACTCAAGGCTTAATTTTTTCCTCAGTTCTTTCAGCATGAGAAATGCCAAGCGTGTTCTTCCCTTTTGGTTTTCTAACTCCAGGTCTTTGCATATTTCATTATAGTAATTGGCTTTGTCCGCTCGAGCTGCTCTTTTGAAATCTTCTGTTCAGCTCTTTTATCTTGTCATTTCTTGTATTTGTTTTAGCCACTCTCTGCTCAAGGGCAAGTTTTAGAGTCTCTTCTGACATCCATTTTGGTCTTTTCTTCCTTTCTCATCTTTTTAATGACCTCTTGCTTTCTTCATGGATGATGTTCATGATGTCATCCCATAATTATTCTGGTTTTCAGTCACTGGTGTTCAATGCATCAAAACTATTCTTTATATGGTCTCTAAATTCAGGAGGGGTCATATTTAAGGTCTTATTTTGGTTCTTGTGCACTTTTTAATTGTCTTCAACTTCAAGTTGAACCTGCATATGAGCAGCTGATGGTCTGTTCCACAATCAGCTCCTGGCCTTATTCTGGCTGAAGATACTGTGCTTTTCCATTGCCTTTTGCCACAGATGTAGTCAATCTGATTCCTGTGTGCCCTATCTGGTGAAGTCCATGTGCATAGCCACCAGTCATATTTTGAGTGCCTTCCAACCTAAGAGGCTCATCTTCCTATGCTGTATCAGACAATATTTCCGGACTATTCATAAAGTTGCTTGGTGATGTATCAGACAGTTTTTCTCTGCTATTCATAAGATTTTTTCCCTGCCAATTCTTTGAGAAGTGGATGGCCTCTTCCTTCTTCCTAGTCTGTCTCAGTCTGTAAGCTGCATTGAAAGCTGTGCACCACATGCAACCCTGCTGGCATTTGAAACACCAATGGCACAGTCTCAAGCCTCACAGCAACATGCAAGGCACCACAGTAGGACAGACTGACAGCCAAGTTTTTCTCCCTTAGCTCTTCAATATCTCTCTGCCCTCCCCTTACCTAGATCCCTCAGCTCTGTCTTGTCCCTGGCTTTTCCCCCCACTTCCTGCCCCTTGGGGTAGGGCCTGTTATCTCCCTCCCCTTACCTGGTTCTTGTGTGGGGGTGGGGGTGGGGGTGGGGAGAGAATTATTAGTTTGGTTTTTGAAATGTGTTTAAGACAACCAGTTGGTATTACCAACCAGGCAGGTTAAAATACTGGCCTAGAGATGGAAGGCAAGATTAAAGGCTTCTAACCAAACTAGAGACATAACGGTGACAAAAGGAGTTCTAAACTGAAGACCAAAATCCTAAACTGCCTCCTCACTTTTTTTAGATACGGCACTGCATTTCATCTACTCTGACTCATAGCAATCCTACATTGCAGAGCAGAACTGCCCCATAGGGTTTCTAAGGCTCTAAATCTTTATGGAAAGACTTTCTCTGGCAGAGCGGCTGATGGGTACAAACTGCCAATCTTTTGGTTAGCACCTGTGCACTGAAATGCCAACTTTCTGTTCAGCAGTCAAATCCCTTAGGCACTGTACCACCAGAGCAACTTAACCACTATGCAGGGATGCTGAATTGCACTAAACCAAAACCAAACTCACTGCTGCTGAGTCAATTCAACTCATAGCAACCCCTCCTTGGGATTCTGAGGCAGTATCTCTATGAAAGTAGATTGCTCCATCTTCCTTCTGAGGAGTAGCTGGTGGGTTTGAACCACCAGCCTTCTGGTTAGCAGTCAAATGCCTTAGGCACTATGCCACCAGAGTGCCTTAATTGCACTAAAGTTAAGTCTAAATAAGAATTGTATGCACCTGTTTCAACTTACCTACAAATCTGATTTAAAGACACATTTAGGAATGGAGCTCATTCAGACAGGATACAGAAAACAAGAAATCTTTATAAAAATTAGATGTGCTGGCTATATGGGTACAGATGTTATGACCTACAGAGCATAGACAGACACACACCAATATAGTGACCAATAATGTTATTGTATTTGGTATCATGACATAAAAAATAACAAAATAGCTTGATTTGACTGGTAATAGGAAACACAGGCATGTAAACTGGTACTTGTCATAGAGGTACAAATTGGTCATATGCTGATATTGTTTATGTATAGAGACACACATACATATGATTTCTCTTAGAAACAGAATATATAAATTCTTAAGTTACAGGGATAATTACTAAACTAAATGCATTTGGTATGACTACACACTTGTTCCATAAGTACAACATTAACAAAAATGGCAAGAATTCTAAGAACTAAAAATTACTAGATTCAATACTTTTACTCCATTCACAGTTTTTCTCAGTAAAGTCTATTGTAGTCTTCTGTCATCTATAAAATTATATGAACAGGCACTTTCATACATTCTCAGTATGAATATAATGACTACTGACATAAAAGACTCTGGTAATAAGAGTACCTAAATTGTCATAAAAAATCACCAGGCATCAGAAAAAAAAAAGAAAAGTTGCATTTGGGCCCATTAAGTTTTATGGTGGACTGTACTTTATATGTTGTCTGATCCTTGAAAAATTAGTTATCTTTATATGATACATTATACAGCATATCTGAATAATCAGGACAGTCCATTACCCTAAGAATGCAAAATAACAGAGTTGACCATACCTGTTCCATCCCTTCTTCAGGATCAGGACCAAACCACCCAAAGAAAACAAATTGCTCAGTCATACCTCCAAATGCAGCAGAACTTGTATTTCTACTTGAAGTCATTCAGAGAAATATGACTATGCAGTTCTATGTTAATTTAGTGTAACTTGCAAACCACATATAATGGAAGGATTTTGGAGCACAAAGTTTTAACAGCATTGAACTTGCATTAAATGCTGGCTTGCATTTTCAAACAAATGTCAAGTTCATATATGCAACAATTCTGCACCAAAGAACAAATTAATAAACTTTTGTTATCTTGCAGTAAAATATGTATTCAATAATTATACTACTAATTTAAATGCCAAACTAGAATAATGAGCAGGAAAGGAACCACTTCCTCTTTAATTCATCTTTATAAAAAAACAAATTTATGTGGAACTTGGGTTAGATTTCAGTGTACTGAAAAGGTACACTTCCCACGCCCTATTTTGGGGAAGTATTTAGAAACTTCAATGCCTTGAAATCAACTTTTACAATAGTAACTGTTACAGCCAGTTAATTCTTTTTCAAGATTAAATGAGGATGGGGCTTGTAGACAATACCTCAGCCCTTTTATTGGAAAAATACACTTTTCAGATATTTAGGTTATTGTTGTTGTTAGGTGCCACTGAGTCAACTATAATTTCAACTCATAGTGACCACATGTGACAGAACAGAAACTACTTCATTAGGTTTTCTGGACTATCATCTTTATGGGAGCAGATTACCAGGTCTTTCTCCTGCAGAGCAACTGGGTAGGTTTGAACTGCCAACCTTTCAGTTAGCAGCCAAGCATTTAACTGTTGTACCACCAGGGCTCCTTAGGTATTTAGCATGTATTCTGAATTATATTCAGATTCCCAAACAAGTCCACATCTACTCTAGACCTCGAAAATCAGAAAGTAATGAAATATGTAGAGTTCAAGAAAAGCTCTTGATTTTTTTTTCCAACCCAAGGCTTATATAACATAGGATTAGGGTTCCATACATGTAAGTGAAAAGAGCATTTCAGTTTTCATGGAGAACTTCCAGAGTCTTCTCTAAATCCTGAAGACAGGTCATATCTTCATTTGAACAGTTTCTGACTGTACTAAAGTTCTGTTTCTAATAGAGATAACTATCTATATCTGCCTTTATGGATACAGATAAACTGTTCTTTTGAAAACAATTCTACAGATTTCTATTTTTTTGTAAACCACACTCTAATTACTTGAAATTGGATTACATTTAATAAAAACATTGTTAAAACCTGGTTGACCTTGCCACAGACTCTTTAAAATATGCACATATGAACAAGCCTCTACTCATCTACCCAAGATCTTCCTAGGCCCTTACCATCATCTTCACACTCTTCCAGAGGCTTCTGCTGCTTGTTCAGGCACCGAGGGTCTAGCCAAGATGTGGTTTTAGTGTTATGGCTACAAATGAGAAATGAAAACAAGAAATTTGTTGGGAAAAGAAAAGCTCAAAGACATAAGAATTACACACTCTTCAATGCTTGCTCCTCAACCAAAGTCCACATGCTTCCCAACAGCAGGTACAAAGAAGAGAATCTGAGCTTGGAATTATTAAAGGGCTTGCTGGTGGTGGTGGTGGTAGGAGGTATATCTTAATATGGCTCCTTACCTACTAATAAACCCACTGCCATCGACTTGATTCCAACTCACAGTGCTCTCCACTGGGTTTCCAAGGCTATAAATCTTTATGGAAGTAGATTGTTTCACTTGCCTACTGTGGAATAGCTAATGGGTTTGAACCACCAATCTTCTGGTTAGCAGCTAAAGTGCCTTACCCACTACACCATCAGAGCTCTTTTACCTACCTGACAGAGTCATTCAATTGCTGAAAGCTCAAATACAATGTAATGCCAGTTTTATTTTTGTATAGTGAGTTCCAAATGACATCCCTTGTCCTATTGTGGAAAAATGAGGGTCTTCAAAGGTGGGGACCAGGTTTGCTGGTCCAATAGAGCCTGGTGTAACCACTGAGACTATGGCCCCTAGCTGCCCTGCAGGTCTGGAATTGAAGCCACACCTGTGGTTTCCAGCCAAACAAAGTACAGGTACGTGAATTAAACATTTACCTCAAGCAGACACACGTCCTGGAGAGAACAATCATGGGAGAAGGAAGCACAGGGAGACAACTCAGGGCGCAGAAGAGTATGGAGGGATGGACACTGGGAAGAGGTAACTATGGGGAGGAAGTGGGAGGGGAGCTGTTGCATTGTAAATTTTGGTCAATGACATGAGACAAAGTATATTATGTGAACTGCTGTATGAAAAGTGAATTTACTCTGTAAATCTTCACCCAAATCAAAATCAAAATAATAATAATAAAGCTATTAGCCACAAAAAAAAAAAAAATGAGGGTCTTCAAATTTGCTGAGGAGCAAACTCCAATTAACTTCAAATTTGCGTTTGACTTACATCCTAGATGCTGAAATTTACTAAGAAGGTTGCTATTCCACTCATGACCTTCCATAAGAATTCTCATGACAGTGTGAAACTACCTCAATTCACCCAAATGCCTCAAAGCATATCATTAATCACTGTGTCCTAAATTATGCCTTAGAAATGTTGTTGTTATGTGCCGTCGAGTCAGACCCAACTCATAGCGACCCCTCCTTTGGTTTCTGAGGCAGTATCACTATGGCAATAGATTACCCAACCTTCCTTCCGAGGAGTGGCTGGTGGGTTTGAAGTGCCAGCCTTCTGGTTAGCAATCAAGTGCCTTAGGCACTATGCTACCAGAGCTCCCTGCCTTAGACATAGTGCACTGAAAAAAAAAAAAAAAAAAAAAAAATCTCACTGCTGTTGATTTGATTCCGACTAATAGTGACGCCTCCTTAGTCTTCTGAGGCAGTATCTTTATGCGACGGCAGTGAGTTTTTTTTTTTTTTTTTTTTCCTTCCCCCCGAATCTCTGAGGAAGTAGATTGCCCAGTATTCCTTCCAAGGAATGGCTGGTGAGTTTGAACAGCCAACCTTCTGGTCAGCAGTCAAATGCCATAGGCACTATGCTACCAGAGCTCCTAGATGTAGTGTACTCACTCACTGCTCTTGAGTCTGATCTGACTCACAGCAACCCCTCCTTGGGTTTCCCAGGTGGTATCACTACAGAAGTAGATTGCTCAATCTTCCTTCCAAGGATTAGCTGGTGGATTTGAACCACGAGACTTCTGCTTAGCAGTCTTAGGAACTACACCACCAGAGCTCCTAGACATAGTGTCAGCAACCCAAAATTACATAGAATAAATAGGACCTGGGCCAACTTAGGAGAAACAAAGTGTGTCATCCAACTGCCTTCTGGAGGGTAGAGTCCAAATCTAGATGAAATGTTTCAAGATACTTGGGTTACTGAATGCTTGAAGTATACAGAAACATTCCCAAGAACATTGATCGCCCTTGAGTCATGCTCAAAATATCACAAGAAAGATGGGAAGAATCGAGCTTCTGTGCTTCCCAAAGCAAATCAAGACACTGGCCTCAAGTCCCCAGTCCATTCTCTACAAGCTAAGTGGTGGGGCAATGGACTACAAGTCAAGTTGTTCTGGCTACAAACTGGAAACAAAATCAGGAAATCTGTTAGAAAAAGAAATTTTTTTGAAGTTTAGGTAGTTGTTAGTTGCCATCAGGTCGATTCCAATTCATGGCAAGCCCATGTGGCAAACCCATATATGGAGAAGACCCTGCTCCATAGGGTTTGTAAGGCTGTGATCTTTCAGAAGTAGCAATTTACCAGGCCTGCCTTTGAAAGTACCTCTGGGTGGGTTTGAACCACCAATCTTTTGGCTAGTCGAGTGCTTAACTGTTTATACCATCTAGGGACTCCTAAAGTTTAGGTAGTAACTTACTTTTTTTTTTTTAAGCTTTAAGTTTAGGTTATAAATATGACAAAAAATACTAAATTACTTTAGATTAAAATCTTATTTATTGTTAATGAAAAAGCATAGCTTAAAAGAAAAACAGAATGGGCAAATGTATATACATGTCATCTCAAATGTGCTATAAGAAAAAAAAAAAGATAAGCTTTTTATATATGTTACAGTTTATTTAATCCTTACAGTAATCAACGGGAAAATTAATAGTATTAAAATTATTACTCTCCATTTAACAGATGAGAAAACTGAGGATGGAAAGGTGAAGAAATTTGCCAAAGAATCCTCTACTGACTAATTGTAGAACTTGAAATCAAACCAAGGGATTCTGGTACCAGAACCTATGTCTGCATATCTCTAGTCAAAATGATCATTGCTGGGAGGGAGGATTATGCATAATTTTAAAAATAAATGTTTTTGAGTTAATTGTAGATGCACATGCAGTTTTAAGAAACAGTACAGAGAGAGCCCACATGTCCCTTACCCAGGTTCCACCAATGGTACCCACTGCCATAGAGTTGATCTGGATTCATAACGACTCTATAAGACAAAAGAACTGCTCCATTGGGTTTCTAAGTCTGTAATCTTTATGGAAGCAGACTCCCTCAACTTTCTTCCATACAGTGGCTGGTGGGTTTGAACCACAGACTTTTTGGCTAGCAGCTGAGTGCTTAACCACTACATCACCAGGGATCCTTCTACCAATGAAAACATGTTATAAAACTATTGTTCAGTATCACAAAAAGGATACTGATAACTATACAGTCAAGACACAGAGCATTTCCTTCACAAGGATCCCTCATGTTGCCTGTTTATAGCAGCACACAGTATTCTTCATATTCCTCCCCCACCCCTTTTCTTTAAACTCTGGAGACCACTAATCTGCTCTCTACTTCTATAATTTTACAGTACATAAAATTTGGGGAACAGCACTGCTCACATAACATAATTCTCTGGAGATTGATCCAGGTTGCTCCATGGATCAATAATTAGTTCTTTTAACTGATGAGTAGAATCCCATGGTCTAGATGTGCCACTGTTTAACCATTCAAGGATTTCTGTGTTGTCTCCTCTTTGGGAGCTATTATTAATATATGTGTTATGAACCTTCATGTACAGATTTTTGGATCAAAATAAATGTTAATTTCTTTGAGATCAAGGATCAAATGTAACACTGGGTCATGTGACAGCTGCATTTTTTGTTTTGTTTGTTTTTAACAAACATTTGCCATTTTAAGCAGTTGCATGTTTAGCTTTCTAAAAAACATCCAAACTGGTTTTTAGAATGCAGTACCATTTTACCTTCCACCACCAACATAGGAAAATTCAATTTCTTCACATCCTTGCCATCAATTAGTGTTGTCACAATTTTTAACCATTCTGATACCTGTGTGGTATTATCTCATTTGAGATTATATTTGCATTTATCTAATGGCTAATGATGCTGAACATCTTTTCATTTCTGGGACAAAGTTCTGCTTAAGTCACCAATTCACTATCCATAAGCTAAGTTGGTGGGGTAAAAAAATTACAAGTCAAGAAGTTGTGGCTACAAATCAGAAACAAAAACAAGAAATTTGTTTGAAAAAAAATTGGAGGGTAAAAATAAGTGTTCACTTCTCTGGGATAAACAATATTTGTCCTCTCTATATCTATATCCTCTTTGGGAGCTCTGGTAGCATAGTGCCTAAGGCACTTGACTGCTAATCAGAAGACTGGTGGTTCAAACCCACCAACCACTCCTCAGAAGGAAGGTTGGGCAATCTACTTCCATAGTGATACTGCCTCGGAAACCCAAGGAGGGGTCACTGTGAGTCGGGGCCGATTCGACGGCACATAACAACAACAACAACATCCTCTTTCGTAAACTGTCCGTTCAGGTATTTTGCTTATTTTCCAATTGAATGGTTTGATTTTTAAGTTCTGTTCATTTTTCCCAAAAATCAATATTCTCTGTTAATCAGACTGAAAAATTTCCATTTTCTGTGTTTAAGTTCACTGATTCTTTTCTCTGTTCCCTCTATTCTGCTGCTGAATCCATCCTTTGAGTTTTTACTCAGTATAAAATTTTCCATTTGATTTTTTTTTTGTATCTTCTATCTCTTCGCTGACTTTCCTATTTTTTGCTGTAACATTCTATTTTTCATTTGTTTCAAGCATGTCTGTAAATTCTCATTGAGCACTTTTAAGATAGCTGCCCTAAATTCTCTAACATATCTGTCATCCTGCATTTGACATCTATTATCTTTATTCACTCACTGTTTCCTGGTTCTTGGTATTAGGTTATGGGACTCCAGATCCTTTTGAAACCTTTCATGTTAGCTGTCTTCTTTTGACAATGCTGTGGCAGGGTAAAGAGGAGGGCTGTCTTATTCTTGCCAAGTGGAGGTGAAAGTCCAGGTTCCTCACTCAGCATCTGTGGACATCCATGGGAGGAAGGAGCTTCTTATTACTGCTAGACAGGGGTGGGAGTTTCCCCAGTAGGCCTCCACTTACACCACCTTGGCTGGGACGGTCTGAGTGCCTTATCACTGATCCCCAAGAGACCACCATTTTGCAGGGCTGAAAGTTCTGGTTCCCCATTAAATTTGCTCCAACACCCATCCCAGTGAGGAGAAGGTGAGGTGCCTCATAACTGCCAATTAGGAGTGGAAGCCCAGGCTCCCTGCATGGAGGCAGTGTCTCTAACTACCTGGCAAATATATCAAAGCCCCAGCTTCCTAAGCTTTTTCTGACACCACCAAGGGTATGGGGTCCTGTTATAGTTTTTTGAAAGTGGAGGTCTAATTTCCCCACTTGGTTTTTCCTGGTATGGGTAGAACTGGAGGCCTAGTACTTTCTGTTATTTGGCTGAAGTAGAGTAGTTACCACCTAAAAGTTGTCTGTCATACGGATTTCCCCTTTCCTGCTCCTTTGGCTAGAGAATGCATACTTTCGTGGAGTTTTTATATTTACTGTCTGTACCTACTGGTGTTTCCATGTTGCAGGCTTCTTCAGCACCCAGTCCGGGATATATGAGGTATAAAGAGAATTCATGGAACTCACCACCATGTCAGCCCTTTAAAACCAGGTCCTTTACAGGTCTTCCAAGGGCTCGCATAACATAAATCTTATGTCTTTCTTTCAAAGTCTTGTTATGTTTTTTTTTCTATATAATGTTCTTTTTATTTTACATCATTTCTTAGATTTCTCACAAAGTATAATACTAAAGTTTATACATATGTGTATGTGTGGGTGTGTGTGTACAACAAAGCATCCTAGAGATCTGTTTCCATAGAAACTTAATTTGCTATTCAATGTAAGGTACGCTAAGACAATGTTTTCCAAAAAGGAAGGACACCTCAATGCTCATTAAGAAGGAAATATAATTTAGTTTAAAATAAAAATGGTGTGTATCTAATTAGTTAACATCTATGTAAGTTTATAGTTGCTGACCAAATTCCACAGCTTCAAAATCTGCCACATTTTTGTCTGATTTTCTATTAAATGCAGCATCAGCTAAAAGCTAAATTAAGCTGTGCAAGTGGGCAAGTCACTGAGTCTCCTATAAACTGTCCATCAGAGGCTATAGTCTCAACAACCATCAGGCTTCCATTTTCACTTTTCAAATTTCATCAAGTCAATCATCAACAAAATTATTGTTACATTTTTCTCAAAAATTGGAATTTCACACGTTATTCTGGATCAGGTAGGCCTCTATTACACATCCCTTTTCTTAACATGCATCTTTCTTACTAATGGACATAAGTTCAAAGGCAACTTATTGCAACAAGCTAAGTATAACTCTTGAGCTTAGAGCTGACATGTATTCTTATAACAATAGTTAAACTCCTCTGCAATAGCCAAAGATTATGATGTATCAAGATGATAACAACAGTGTTCACTAATTAGCACTAAACTCAGTGTTTTACATCTATTTTCACACTTAAATCTTATTATTAGCCTGACAAAGTCAGATGATTCATAATATTTCAATCTTCTTTTACAGATAGGGAAATTGACATGCAAAGAAGTAAATTCAAGTTCCCAAGGTCACAAAACTAGCCGATGGTGGAAACAACTTGGTTGTAGAGCTGAGTTATTAACCACTATAAATCCCTGCCTACCAGAAAAAGAATACACCTTCCAGGGTTGACTTAATAAGCATTTTAAAAAACAAAACATGAAAACAGAAATGGATTGTCCCTTCTCTCTGGTTTCAAACTATCATAGGAGCTTTAGGTCACTTATCTCAGTCTTCCCAGGTAGGCTCTAGAAAGGATGTTCTAAGATCATCTTTTCCTTCACTCTTATGTCTTTAGGAAACATACATTTTCAGCTTGTTTAATTTTCCTCCTCTCATTGCAAAATACATGCTCAGTTTAAAAAAAAAAAAACTACAAAGAAATGTAGTATGTGATTAGAAAGTAAATTCCTTTCTTAACTCAAGCCCAATTGTTAATATACACTTCCAGAATGTTTTTATATGCAGAACTACATCTACACAGCCACAGAAATAAAGGTAAACATGTAATACATGTAGGTAAATGTTATTAGTTGCCATAGCAAAACTTATATATAATAGAATGAAAGGTTGCTTGGTCCTGGGCCATCTTCACAATCATTGCTCTGTGTGAGCCCACTGTTGCAGCCACTGGGTCAATCCATCTCATTAAAGGCTCCCTCTTTTTTTGCTGACCCTCTACTTTACCAAGCCTGATGTCATTCTCCAGCAATTGGTCCCTCCTGATAATAAGCCCAAAGCATGTGAGTCAAAGTCTCGCTATCCTCACTTCTAAGGTGCATTGTGGCTGTACTTCTTACAAGACAGATTTGTTTGCTCTACTGGCAGTTCATGGTATACTCAATATCCTTCACCAACACTGTAATTCAAAGGCATCGATTCTTCTTTGGTCTTCACTTTTCATTGTCCACATTTCACATGCATATGAGGTGATTAAAAAATATCTTGACTTGGATCACGTGCACCCTCAAGTGACATCTTTGCTTTTTAAAACTTTCAAAGAGGTCTTTTGTAGCAGATTTTCCCAACAGAATACATCATTTGATTTCTTTATTGCTGCTTCCATGGATGTGGACTGTTGATCCAAGAAGAATGAAATCCTTGATAACTTTAATTTCTTTCTCAATTACCATGATATTTTTTTACTGGTCCAGTTTTAAGGATTTTAGTTTTCTTTATGATCAAATATAATCCATACTAAAAAGTATCTTTTACTTTCACCACAAAGTACTTGAAATCATCTTCACACATATACATGTATAATATATAGAGAGAAAATCTCCAAAGTATGTGAGTCATGTGAGTCAAAGTCTTGCCATCTTCACTTCCAAGGTTAGGAGAGATATATATGTGTGTGTATGTATATATATATCTACAAAGCTGAGATAGTACCTATATTGTTTTGCAATGTCCCTCCTGATTCTTTAATGTTCACTTAACAGTAACTCTTCAACTTCAATTTATACCAGTAATAAATTTACATATACTTTCTTTTTTTTTCTTAGCTTAATTAGTCATGTTCTTTTTCTTTTTTTAGTGGTACATAAAATAATTGTGACTCAAATGTAGGTAACAGAGCCAAAGCATAGCATTTTAAAAACAGACTACTGTTGCTTGGGAAGTTCACACTTCCTAGACTTACTTTGCAGAATGGTTTCAGTTCTTTTTTTTTTTTTTCCAGTAAAGGTTATTTAGTAAATGCTTAGGTATACAGATTTTAAGTTTAAGTAATTTTGAAAAGTTTTCATATCTATATACTCTCAAACGTCAATTCCTATGTCTCATACCATGTATAAAAATTACCTTAAAAGAATTACAGACCTAAATGTAAAATATAAAACTTCTGAAAAAAAAAAAAAACATAGCAGAAAATCTTTATGAACTTGGTTTAGGCAAAATTTCTTAGCTATTATACCAAAATCATTACTGAGAAGACAAAAAAAAATTATTTATTAGACTTCATGATAATTAAGAATGTCTGCTCTTCAAAAAACAATGGAAAAAAAATCCATATTCAGACAAAATGTTTGCAAATGACACATATTTTAGAGAATTGGATCCAAGGTACGTGAAGAACTCTTAAATCTTGAGAATGAAAAAACTGCAACATGATTTGGAAAAAAAAATTATTAATGGCTAAATATATTCTGTATATATTATATCATGATTTAAGTATGCCATAATTTAGTTATCTAATCCTTTAGCAAAATTATTAACTTTATGCTTTCTCATGCTCTTCAGACTCAACGATTAGGATGATGTGTCTGATTACTTTTTTGCGTGCAAAGCTTATTAAGCCGTGTGAGAGAATACCCTCAATATGTAATCAATCCTTTTAGATTTAATTTGCAACTGTAGCTGCTAGATGGAGGGAAGGAAGGGGAAAGAAAGAGAGGGTGATATTTAGGTACAAATAATGGTATACTTTACTCTATAAAATAGACTTCTCCATTTTCGGTATAGGCCATCTCCCAGTTTTCAGGTAGAGGACCTAAATTATCCTCTGCAGAAAGAGGTAGGTATTGAGGGAACTTCTGAGAAGGGTCCGTGATGGGGGCAGCAATGATGCTACTATTCACAGGCGGTAGCGCTGTCTCTTGGAGAGTATGCTCGTCTTGGTCACCAGAATCGGCTGTTTAATTACGTGGGGGGAAGAGAGAGAAAAGAGGGAAAAAAGTAGTTATTCACTGATCACACTCCAAACCTGTGAAATCCACTGTTGTTGTTAGGTACCATCAAGTCGATTTCAACTCACAGCCACACATCTGACAGAGCAGCACTACCCTGTAGGGTTTTCTAGGCTGTAATCTTTATGGGAGCAGACTGCCATCTCTTTTTGTTCTCAGAGCCAAAGGATACGTTCAAACCACCAACCTTTTGGTTAGCAGCCAAGTGCTTAACCATGTGCCACCAGGGCCCCCTGTACCTATATTCTTAAAAGCCCTTATTCTTGCCTAATTGCTGGTCATTGACCATGACTTCTGTTTCATTTAGATGGATGTTCCTTTGCTAGAAATCATCAAAGTAATTGATAAACTATATTTTACCTAAAAAGAACAAGGAAAAATACGTACTCGAAAATTCATTGTTCACACTCCTGGTAATATCAAAGAAGAAACAAAGCCTTAAATTGGTCACTAAAATTAAGAAGATGATCAAAACACAAAACTGACTTGAACTCTCATTCCATAGGTTTTTGTTTTGTTTTGTTTTTTACTTGTTATTTGGGTGAAAGTTTACAGAGCAAATTCACTTTCCATACAGTAGTTCACACACACGTTGTCTCATGACATTGACTACAGTTTACCCCAATGCAACAGCTCCCCTCCCACTTCCTCTGGATAGTTACTTTACCTCTTCCCTGTGTCCATCCCTCCATGCACTCCTGCCCCCTCAACTATCTCCCTGTGCATAAACAACCCCTCTTTCTCCCATGATTGTTTTCTCCAAGGAGTATATCTACCTCAGGTACCATAAGGTTTTTTGTTTTGTTTTATGACTTTGACGAGAAGCCTTTGGATGTAAAAAAAAAAAAAAAAAAAAAAGGTTTATGATGGAAACACAAATAGAGTGGAATTATTGCCCATTTTCATATAAATTATTTAAAACATTTTTGGTAAACACTAGCAAAAATCCAAGACTCTTACAATTTGAGGTGGAGATTATATATAATTTTAGAATATGGAGACAGCTATACCAGTGAGTCAGATTTGAGCCTTTTTGAAAAAGTGGAAAGAATGCTCTTGTAAAAACCAAGACAGTTACCCCCAGAACAGTAACATGTGTGCAAACTGACTTGACATGGATCTTAACAGAGGGCTTTAAGTACATAAACTCTTTGCCTTCTTATTAACTGGAAACAACAAGAGGTGATGTCATCAAAGTATCCACAAATGGCACTGTTGACATTCAGCTGAATTTTTATAGAGGACGATGATATTAAATGTCAATCTCCATGGGGTTTTAAAATGTAACAGTCAGGGGATGTAGTTATTTCCTATCTCCCAGAATAATTCTCTTGAAGACATTTCTTATTTACTGAAAGCAAACTGAAGAATAATAAATGGCCGTTTTCAAATCTTTCTCTGATGAGTAGCTCCCAATGATATACACATGACTAAAGGTAATCCAAAGTTATTAAGTACATGCAGAGCTTACCAGACAACAACCTCCACCAAAAACCCCACTACCTTTGAGAAGGCTGTATGTGGTCCTTCCTACCTTGCACTCATTCCCTCTTTCTTCTAGTACCACCAACTCAGATGTCCCTCCAGGTCCACATGGTCCAGCTGGTGACTGAGCCAAGCTCATTCCTAGCACCTGGGGTGGGCCCATGTCACACTTACAAGTACTCTATCACTCTTGCCTTGGACGTTCAGAAATGGGCACAGGACCCAAAGCAAATGAACCAATGTCAATCCAAGAAGTTTCATGGGAATTATCAAGCAAAAAAGTAGCCTCAGGGACTAAAGACTAAAGAGAGAAAAAGATGCCCATCAGACTGAGTCTCTGATTACATGCCTGAAGTCAAGGCTATCCCTGCCTTCTTTAGTTGCCTAATGCCCCAGATTCCATTTCCTGCTTAAAATACTTAAGAGTTGGTTTGAGGACTAGCATCTAGTTTCTTCATTAATAAAACAGCTGTAAGTGCAAAGGAAACCAAAGGGAATTAGGTCAACACAGAGGAGAGAAACATTTTGAAATTACTAACCAATAAAAGGAGAAACTGCAAAACTGAACAGTAATCAGAACATTGGCCCTCATTCTTTAGAAGCCAGTAAGTACTTGTTATCTTAGGAAGGTTAACTTTTCACACTTACATGTATATAAGAATCACTGGGAGATCTTGTTAAAATGTAAATTTCTGGCTTCCTATTACAAAGATTAGATTTAAGGTGTGGTTCCAAATTATAAATTCTTATAGCAACAGGTGATAGAGATTCAAATGATACAAGACATTTTGAGGACAAAGACATAAATAATTCTCAGAAGAATTAGAAGAAAAAAGGAGGTAGGAAATCATTTGTTAAAATGTCCCAATTTCTATTTGGGTTTACTCTCTTCTGGGCTTGAATGTACCATAAGCCAGGATCCTAGACTCTTTGGCTTTTAGGAGAGGTATTGTCCTGAAGCCAAAAGGTCTGTGTGTTGTAGCTCAGAGTACAAACTCCTGAGTCCACCCCTGCTAGGCCAGAGATGCAAATGAGGTATCTGGATGGAGCCCTGGACAGGGGTGCCCAGTCCAGAGGGTTTTCAGTGCCAGACAATAAATATCCTGGAGAAAAGTGGATTCAGGGTTGCCAGATCTTGGATTTTTCTTTTCTTTTAATATAAAAATAATGCAATGTGGCATAAGCAATAAGTGAACTGCAGTGGTTATAATAAGCACTGACTCTGGAACTAGACTGCCTGAGTTGGAATCCTGGCTTTATCATTTACTAACTGGGGCAATGTATGTAATCTTTATGTGCCTTAGTTTCCTTATCAGTAAAGTGGAAGTAGTAACAGTACCTACCTCATCAGTGAATTAATTTAGGCAAAGCACTCTGAACAGTGTCCAGGCCATGGTAAGCAGGACTTAAGTGTTAACCATCATCATCATCATCCTCATCATTATAATCATCAGAGTCAATACTGTTAATATTTGTCTCCAGACCAGATCTGGTTCCCAGCCTGACAACTTGTTACAAATAAGAAGAAAAAGCATAGGTTTTGACATCAGACTTCAGATCAAATCATACTTTTCTTCTTTCTTTCTAGCCATGTGACTCTGGAAAGGACATTACCATTCTGAGCATCTGTTTCCTCATCTGCAAAACGGGTACTACATACATGCTATGAAAAATGAATGAGATAATACATGTAAAATTCTTAGAACAGTGCCTGGTAGGTGCTAAGAGAGTGGTTGGTACCAGTATCTGGTCCTGGAATACAAGTAGCCAAAGTCAGCAATAGCCTTTTATGTGATCTTTAAGAGCCAGGAAAGGGCCAGTGCAATAGTAGACATGTAATAATTTTAAAAGTTTAGCATACCTGTTAATAGAAGCTGGATGTAGCAGAAAAAGAATAATGTGTGGCCCACTACATATGAAATAAGAGGCAACCTCAGTTGAAAATTCACTGATTAAAAGAAAAAAAAAATCAGTGACTATGTTAAAGACACATTAGCTCAGTGGGAAAGTTTCCAAGTAGTTTTAACTTCCTGGAGGAAAAAAAAAAAAAAAAAAAAAAATCCCTCCAGCAACTGGACCTTATTTTAAAATGGCTAAATATTTATTTTTACTTCTGGTGTCTTCTATGCCTTCTTTCCAGTCCAAAAGAACCTTAATCAATGCCATTCTACGAACAGAAACAAGTCTGAAAATGAAAGGTGGATGCGGACATAGGGCAGACTCAAGAAAATTCACAGCCACATTCATAACTTTGACTTTGACACATGCTTTCAATTTCAGTATCTCTTGCATTTAACTTTCTAAACATTTGGGAGCATTAGTGTTCCCCCTCTTACTAAAGGTTGCCACTGAATCCAAAGAAGACAGGTAGTGTGAAATATTGGAACGCAAACTGGACGGGGAGACATAAAACCTGGTTCTACCCTTGTCTAATTCTGTACCGGGCACTGTGCTCTTTTAACCTCTCTGATCCTCAGTGTTATCATCTATAAAATAGGGAAGGTAATACCTGGCGTGCTTACCTTTATGATTTCTAGGAGACTTACCACATACATTGTAAATAGCAGGAAAAACAAGTTTATTCATAGTAAATCCAAGTATTTACACACACACATACATACACACACACTTCTGAGGTCTTCTGGTAGTGACACATACACACCAAAGAAAACACATTTTCCAAGATTATTTTAACTTAAACATGCTTATAGATTTAAGTGCATCCCACACTGGTACACAACCAGTCAAAATCTGTAAGGTTCAAAGAACTGATGAAGTTGATTTAAATCACAAACAGCATAGTGGAGCTCTGGTGGCGTAGTGTCTAAGGCATTTGACTGCTAACCAGAAGGCTGGAAGTTCAAACTCACCAGCCACTCCTCGGAAGGAAGGATGGGCAATCTACTTCCGTTGTGATACCACTTTGGAAACCCAAAGAGGGGTCACTATGAAGTTGGGTCCAACTCGATGGCACACAATAACAGCAGCAGCATAGTGGATGAGAATGCAGGTTCCAGAGTCAGGCTTTCTGGGCTGAAGTGACAGCTCTGCCACTCACTGGCTTTGTGATGTTGTTGTTGTTGTTATGTGCCGTCGAGTCAGACCCGACTCCTAGCAACCCCTCCTTGAGTTTCCGAGGCAGTATCACTACGGAAGTAGATTGCCCCATCTTCCTTCCAAGGAGTGGCTGATGGGTTTGAACAGCCAGCCTTCTGGTTAGCAGTCAAATGCCTTAGGCACTATGCCACCAGAGCTCCCGGCTTTGTGATACTGGACAAGTTATTTGACCACTCTTTAGCAAAGGTAAGTCACATAGTCAACACTTGAGAAACATTAGCTTTTATGATAATGATTATCTCCTGGCATTTCAAATAAATGCTTTATTGCTTTCTACCATTCCAAAGAAATTGTCAGCAACTCAATGCAAAAACAGGGGGCTGCTGAAAAGGAAACCTAGACA